ATGTAAAATTATACTTTCATTGAAAAATGTTGCGGTGTACAGAATCTGAAGATGTAAAATCTTTATTTTGGATAGAAAAAAGAAAAAAGTATTTGTCCATCAACGTGTTAGATTTTGGGAATGATTAAATTCTAAAACTGAATATACAAAAATAAAAAATAATATATTAAAGTCATAAATGCACGACACTAGCCACTAATGTATTATAATACAATATAATTTTCGATGCCATATTTATCCATTAATAATCAGCTATACATACATAACGTTCAAACTTGTTGGTACAAATTATAATAAAAATTAATTGAAAAGCGGCAAGAATAAAACAAAATTAATATCCCTTTCACTGCAACACATGCCAGGCAATAAACAAAGCGGAAACATGTTTCTTGATATTTAATAAATTTTTCGTCGTTTGGACACGTTCCACGCGGGCATTTGCAATTGCAGCAAGAATACGCGTTTTGAGTGATCGTATAACGTTAGATTATCCGCGGAACGCCTCTTCGTAAATCCAAAATCGCCGGAAAACTGTTGCATGAATCATGCTACACACGTGTTGGTACAAAAAGCATCTGAACACCCACGTATTCTCACACGCGTTTCTGATGCTAGAAACGAAACCTTGATTTTTTATACAATAACTGACATTCTGCCAATTTTCCACGCGACACAAAAGAGGAACTATAAAATATAAACTTTTCTAACGATACAAAATTGACGAGAAAAATACGGGATCGTGCAAGCCATAAAAGAGAATTTTTCTGAATAATCTTATCAAAAAAGTTTATCTTTTCTGATAATCTTTAAGATTAATTTGTCTTCTTTCTTTCGTTTGCGTTAATCGCGATAAGTCGACTAACGACACAGTGGGATTAAATTAAACTCTAATTTCTGATTATCTTTATTTATCGTATCAGAGTATTAAACTTGCAGCTTTTTAAACTCAAAAGCTTTAAAGCTAAGAGCTTACCATTTTCTTAACGGTTTTAAAATAAAGCGACGAACAAAGATATCTCACAGTTAGGTCGGGGCATTGTGCCTCGTTCGTTAGAAAACGGAAGTAGCAGCCTAACAGCAATTACGATTGATCTGAATATTAGTTGATCGTAAAACGAACTCTGAAGTTCTTCGTTTATGTGAGGAAGAGTTTCTCTATACGATAGTCAGAAGAATTATTTCTCACTTCCGGCCAAGATGTGAAATAATTATGTTGTTAACACGTTGACGATTGCAGTGAAAACGCTAATTATTAAAGACATAAATAGTCTATTTGCAGTGTTATTCAAAATTTGTCTGTTCCTTTCTTCTTTTTTTTAAATTTGAAGCATGGACCATCGGTGATCCCCCCTAATAATCAACGTCTTAAAATATTTAATACTTATTAATAAATATTATAAAATATATCTCGTTTTCTAGGTGATAAACTAATGCTTCATTAAAATTCTTGATGTTTAATCAGATTTTCCGAACAGGATGCTCATTCAATCGCGACCTTGCATTAAACTCGGATTTGTCTTAATTTGTAGATTATATAATTCTAGAGATAATATTAAGACACAAATAGATTTTGATAGAGAAATGAGAGCGTGAATTTGGATTAACAAGTGCATTGAAGGAAATCATCGCTTATCAAAGCATATTTTTAGAGGCAACATCTGCGAGTAACTCGATTCTAACACCAATATTTGTTGCATTAACATAAAGGGATAAACTTCAACCTTCTATGAATGAAGTAGGTTGAACAAATTTACAATGCAGCAGATATTGTCAAAATAATATTATCGAGTTTTCATAAGCTTTTGAAAATTGTACGACATTGGTTTTATAAATTTAAGATTATTTAAATGTCTATAAATTATATGAATTGTTAAATAATTGCAATTAAAATGAATTTTCCATTAGTATGAATCCTTAATAGTAGTTTTTCTTTTTCTTTAAATGTAACCTAACCATTACTGTACAGACAAATAAACATTGCTAAAAGCAAATTTTTAAATATTTCAATGGAATTCTATGGGCCCCATTACACTATTTACATGATGAATTGGCCACAATACCAGTTATGGATCAAGCCGATCTAAAAAACGTTGAACATCATATGGCACGTGTGAAACGTGACAATGTTAATCGGGAGATATCAAGTGAATTACTGTCACTCTTATCTTATTAATACATATGATTTATCTCAGCGCCATGTATCTACGAACCAATAATAAATAATTGCTCAATTATTTAAAAATATCATGCTCGATAACTTTTGCCCTTTTCGTACGTACATTTCCGATGGACCAGAAATATTTCAAAGCAACTTTATTGTCCATCACAAACCAACTTTAAATCATAGTTAATTCAAGACGAGTTAAAAAAAATATTTGATGCAATTCACGGGTTATCTGTTATCGCAAATATGCAGTCTTAATGCACTTGTACACACAATTCATGCACTCTACGACAGAATACCATACAATGTGCTGCTTTTATTTACAAAAGTCCATTTTGTAACGTGCACAATGATAAATGAAATGCTATATTTTCACTAAAAAACACTACATTTTATTTTCAATACAAAATCCACGTTACGAGCAGACACTGTTAAAACAAAATAATTTTCATTTATTATCAAGAATTTATTCCTCACCTCAGCTGCAGTGTGACGGACAGATGTTTCTGGAGATTCTCTCTCGATCGTTCGATTTCCCGTCCCTTTTCCCCTCAAATTTGGAGCATCAATCTCGCCAATCTAAGACGCTCTTATATTTCAAAATAAAAATTAAACTTTCATTCAAGAATTTATCTCTCTTATCCAGTCTTTAGGAAATTGTGTAATTAAATGATCGTCTTCGATAAAATAAAAAAAAAAGGTGGAAAAGAAGAAAAGTTGGAGTCAATTGGATGCGATTTGTAGCTAATGATTTCTTGGATTATTTAAATTTTAGGTACGATGCAGTATGTTTGACACTACGTCGACCATGCGTCGTGCACGAGCTGCGACGATCAACTAAAGCAGAAGGGAAGCGTTTTACTCGCGCGTGTTGTTCGTGCGAAACTGACTCGATCACTCGCGCGACTCCACTTCGGGACTGAACAACTGCGCACGGTACTCGCTTGGCGTTCAGTCGCCCCCCAATAAGACAAGGGACGAGACGTCAGGTAACGATGGTCATTTTCTACGATCTGTTACACGTTTTTCATTCAATTAAACGTCATAAAGTAAGCATTAAACGATTAACGTATACACTGCCAATGCTGTCAATATCTATTGACAAACTGTGTATTCCTCATACGTTTAATCTTCATCGAGAGTTTATTCAGGTTTCAGTTGGAATTCATAATCAAGAAACACTTTATCAGCAGTATAAATATTTATTGTTTCTTAGTTTTCATTAACATTTTAAATAATGATAAAATGTCCGTCTATTCCCCCACATACTTTATACTGTATCTAACAAAAACATGCAATTTCATTTTAAAAATGTTTTTTGTATTTTGAACTTCATTCGACGTAATTCGATGCATTTTTTTATTCTCTATAAGAAAGTATTAAAATAGTTGGGCCAAGAATTGATTAGTTTAAAAGAAATCTTAGGGAGAGATCTGTAGGCTCTTCCTCTCTTCCCTTAAGATATCTTTGGACGGATGAATTTTCAAGCCAAGTACCTTAGTAATTTTTTGTAGTGAATTAAAAAACGCTTCAACTGGTGTATAGAAAACTACAAAATTCGAACAAAATTTTGTAGTCCCTGGGTTCTTTCTATCTCTCCCAAAGATATCTTTTGAACTAATCTGTTTTGTACTCAAGTACTATACTACTTTTTTATAAAGTATTAAGTACTATACTACTATTGTACAGTTGTTTCAAACGTAAGCATCATTGCGATGCAGATGTACTTTTATTAACCCCAATTAAGCTACTATTCCTAAAACCACGTGTATACTCGCTAACGACAGTAGTATAATAACTCGTCATATATAATATAACACACCGTAACGTGTATAATAATTTGATCGTATGCAATGATACGCAAATGCCTTGATTGCGGCAAGTTTGTTGACAACGAATCGTTAATCGAAGAGACAAGTCGATTAGGGATTCCACTATATTCTATAAACGGAATTATAGGCATAGCCGATAATAACATATGTATAAATTGTAGAAATAAGAACGATGCACCGACGAGTTCTAGTACCTTCCTTTTGTTTAATGTCGTTTGCAGATATTGTTTCACAGCGTTCATGATAATCTTATAAGTTGTAAGGTAACTGTATGAAAATCTTTTATATAAGTTATCATGAAAGCATTATATTTAGTAAATGTGTACTCTTAACAGTCAATGTGTATTTACGTAACATTTTAACAGAAAACAAAAGAAATGAAAATGTATTTATTCATTTACTGAACAGTATAAATTTATACTGTATAAATGTAAATTTCATTGTTTGAAGATACATTTACTTATCAAACTATTATGCATATGTGACAAGTAAGTGTATACATTTACAATAATACAGACAACATTAAAGAGTTATTATTTCCAGATTCTCATTACATTCCTTCGTTAGGATATTTATAAATTTTATCTAGTCTTATCTTCTGATAAACACACTTGATGTTCTAAAATATGCGATGCGAACGAAACAGGTGATTTCTTAGAAAAAACTTTAATCAGAAATAGATTGTCGAAAATGTCCTTTTAAGTTATAAGATAATTGATTTTAAATAGTCTATACATCACTTAAGGGTCTATGCTTAAAGCTTCAGAAATTTGTTTAATTTATAATTTACATCAACAATTTATACTAAATATGTACCAACAATTATATATCAACAATTTCAAAGTAAATATGTAAATCAACATCTTATTATATTATTAAAAAAAATATTTTAAAGTTCAAGTTACAGCTATAACATATTTTGAAACTAGACGATCATTCATACTGTTTTATTTCTTTTCAAAACCATAAGCCTGTAAAACAGATTTTGTTTGAAACTCGTAGGTCACTCTTTCGATAAGCATTGTTCCTTATCAAATTGTCCCATCCGTTTAGTAATGCTTTGTTCAGACTGATAGTGAACACATATTGATCTTACATTCATTTGTAAGCTTTATTAGCAACGACTTCAAATATTGATTGTTATGAATAAACATTTCGACAGCGTAATGGTTATCCGTTCAAATTAACCTTTAGTGAGAAAGGTTTGAGGTTGTTTAATAGTCTCGTTGAGCCAATTTGCGCGAAAGAAGCATCTAGAAACGCGAAGATTAAAGGAACCATGAAGAAAGAAATTATAGAGATATTATGGCTCATTTCACAGAGTCACAGAAAAGAATAGTATGCCGGAAATGAGTTTAAACGGTTTAATTTCTATGACCACTGCGTGCTCGTAACACGCGCGGAAAAAGGAATAAAATACTGATTGTATGTTCTATTCTCGAATGTTAACATAATTCTATTTCTACTTTATTAGTGTCAATATCATTTTACTTCGATTGTAATATTTTCTGTTTTAATTATTCCTAATGAGCGATTAAGATTCTAACAGAAATAGAACCAGAAGTACAGTAATATCGCTATAAGATTTCAAATTAAATTATGTATAAATAAACTTGCAATCAAATTAATCATATTTGTATAAATTCTGTATAAATTACAAAACATAATGAGGAAGATAAATAATTTTTTGAAAAAAGAAGATGATAATACTAACATGAGTTAAAGTTATTAGATAAGATAAAGTAAAACTTACATTCTTTCTTGTAGAAGATTATTCTCTATAAATTTTCTGCCTGTCTGCCTTTATACTGATATCCCGTATCAAGTATCTAAAAAAAGGTGTTTGGGTTAAAAAGAATGCTTAATAATACCATAAGACTATAATACATCCACTTTTTACCCCTTTTTTTGTTGATAAATCAGTAACAGTTTTAAAGTTGCTTAAACTTCATAATATTACAGAAAGGGGAAATTAACAAAAAAACAAGGAAATATAAATCAAATATGAAGGGAAATTTTTGAAAGTCGTTAGATAACAAATTTATCTGAAAATAAATGGATCATTGATAGGTCTTATCGGTGTAATATTTGGAGAAAGGCTGGAGGACGTTTGGGGTAATTTTCGTTATACTGGACATTTGAAAATTAATTAAAAAAGAGACATGTAATACAGAAACAGTAAAAATGACAATAAACAAAAGTCTATATTTCTTTTTAAACATTTTTTACATATAGATCACTATAGATCACTGTATTCATCATAGATCTACCAAAGATCCCCATATCGCTTCCAACATGCGTGTGGACTGTATTTAACTGCTCGAGCTCATTGAACCGTATGAAAATTTGTAAATTCGTACGAAAGTGAACGTGTCCTGTGTATCACGAATCGAGAACGAAAGTACCGGGACAGAGATATAGGGCACGGTTCTACTATCCCACTTTTACCGACCTCAATTTCTCTCACCTACATCTGGCGCCCACGACCGACTTGAGAGTTTCGTTTCGTTTTCACTTTCGCTGGCTGTGCCGTCATCCTGACCCGACCCGATCGAGATTTCTATTAACCTGGCGCACCGAACAGATCTCTCCGAGGAAACTGGAGTGTCCTAGGTCAGGATCACGTTCGCTTTCACTGTTTGTCCGTTTCCTTCTTAGTCACTTTCGATTTCTGTAACTTTAGATTGCTCGTCCTTTCATATGAAACACAGCTCGTTCGTATTGGTCAAAGTTTGAACGATGTCCAAAGTATTTGAAGTTCTGAAACTAATATTGAAATTAATGATCAGAAGTTAGTTAATTAGTTGGTTAATTATTGTGCATCTTATATGAAAGTTGACAAAACTACTTTATCTATTTTTGTTACTTTATCTATTGTTGTCATAATTACTGAAAACATTGATTGTCCATCAGATTTAATGTTTTTGTATTTTTAATTACTAAAATAATTGACGAAACGGAACTTGATGGCCACAACACTGCAACCTGCTGTATGAAATTGACAAGTTACATATTTTATAAAAGATAAACATAATGTTCATAAATATATCTTTGAATTATCATATACTACTATTTCATTAATAACATTATATTAAAATAAAATAATTTGTATAAAGTGTAACAGTTACTAAAACATTCAGTTCATAAATATATTAACTATTCAATTGAATGAGATAAAAATACTCTCAACTGATAATAAATAGCATTGTAACAATGATTCCAAGAACTTGAATGATGTACTTACGCATTAAAAACTATATCTTACAACATCAAATTATTTGAATGGCAAATACAACATATCAAATTATGATCAACGTCATACCATTCAAACACATCTCTATACCAGTTACATACGTATCGAAACACAGTAGCTGCAATCTAAGTGTTAAAAAATTTGGATGACTTATTTACGAAGGTACGTCGCCAGATACAAGATGAATCATTACAATAATACCCATAAATTTTATCAGATGACTTGACATGGAACATTTATCAGGAGACAACTAGAATATAAAAGGACCAGGAAGAAATAAACCCACCAGTAGAAGTGACGACGTGCAATTGATAAACGTGTACAAGTGTGTTTCATGAAAGTTTCGTACAATGAAAGGTAACTTCGAATAAACACGTATTGTTCTATAAGTGTAACATATAATAGATAAGAACGGAAAATATTGTGTTGTTCGCGAGATATTACAAAATTTCGTGTTATTTTGGATATTTATTTGTGTGCTTAATATTAAATCAAAGACACTTTAAATATAATGAGTTAGATCAATGAGTTTAAAATTTTAAAAACCAAAATTTTTATTAAAAAATCACTTCAAAGTCAGCTTACTTCCACCTTAGTAAATTTGGACATTTATCCATTGTTGATAAATGTCACCAGTGTCCGAATATTTATAATATTGTAAAATTATAACATTTCCTTGTTGTTAATAGGTGTCACTATACTTTTGCTCGTCTTACTTGTTCACACGTTTGACGCCCATAATAAACATGAGGGACGGATGACAAAGCTAGAAAAAAAGCACACTTTGAAGAGGGAAGCAGCAGTTGAGAAAATCCGCAAATTGTATGAAAAACTTGATGAAAAAGACAGTGAAGAAAGTGAAAGAAGAAAACCTCCAAATATTTCGAATTTGCCAGCGTGGAAACGCAAGCCAGATTCTTCTGATAGCGATTGCGACTCCTCCAGTACGAAAGATTCTTCTAATTGTGAGTCATCAAGTTCAACAGATGAAATCAGGTCCTCAAAATCACGTTTACACAAACAATCAAACAGCAAACATGAGAAATATGATTCAAGACGACAAAAAAAAGGAGATCATGCGATAGGGCATAAAGCAACACTAAACTTACTTGAAAATTTCGAGGAACAATTCAAACGCCTTTTAAAAAAACTAATACCAAGAGTCAAAGAAAGAATACATATAATACAAATGCTTAAATACCACAGAATAGAGTCATGTCAATCCCTCTCGCCATTACAATTCTTTTATAAAAGACTCTATGAATATAATAAAGCTAGATATATGGCGTGGAGGAAAAAGTTGGAGATAAGAAATTATATATTAAGCCACATGAATCATTTGGATGCAGAAGCGATAATGCGTAAATGCAACATCCAACGAAATATTCCTTACGCCCTTCGTCGTGCCCAAATGAAAAGATGCATAAATGTTTACGCCTCAATTAACAAGATATTTAAAATTGTAACAAAACTACCTCGGCCAAGTTTAAATCCAGCTGATGAAATACTGTGGCTGTGTAATAAAACATCACTACATAAGTTATCAACAACAGTAGAAAAAAATAGCAAGGACACAGAAACAACTGCAAAAATTACTACACAAGCTGATGCTGACAATTATCCATCGCCAATAACAGAACCAGAAAGTAAAAATCACACAAGTACTACAGAATCAACAAGGCATCGGGGATCAATCAAGGCACCTTCGTCCACAACTACTAGTAAAGAAACAGAGAACACCACCACAAGCAGAATATCCATCATTTCAAGTGCTGTTGAAACCACAACTGAAGCGACCAACACAATACAAAGTCATATCACAACTACAAGCAGTAGCACTAAGCCATCGTCTCTAACACATAGAAAAAGACTAACAACCAGCTCAGTTCCCACTGAACAACCGTCACCTACAATCATTATTCAGAACAAAAATAGAACCCCGTCCAGGGAAAGACCAAAAACTTGGAGCGGTGCTCCAACCACAAATGCAGGAACTGCCACGATAGAAGGCCAAAAAAAGACTATAATTAGTAACAGTAAGCCATCATTAGTAACAACTGTTAAAACGATAGTGAACAGATCAAATGAAGACACGCCAACATCAAATATTATTCAGGAAAGAATAACCACCCTCTCGAAGGAAAGACCTGCCGCTTGGAGCAGTGCGCATAATACAAATAAAGGACCTGCCACAGTACCGAGGAAAGAAAAGGTTATAATCAATGGCAGCAAGCCATTATCACTAACAACTGCTACGACGTTGCGGCATACAAGTATACGCGGATCAACCCATAGTCCAGGACCAACTGAACACACGTCATCTGCAAATGTTATTCAGGAAAGAATAAGCACTCTGCCGAGGGAAAGACCTACCGCATGGAGTAGTGCTCATACTACAAATAAAAGACCTGCCGCAGTAGCGAGCGAAGAAGAGGTTATAATCAGTGACAATGAGCCATCATTACTACCAACTGCTAAAACGATAGGGCATACAAATACAGGCGGATCACCCAATCATCCAGGACCAAGTGAACACACGTCAGCTGGAAATATTATTCAGGAGAGAGTAAGCCCCCAGCCTAGGGACAGACCTGTCGCTTGGAGCAGTGCTCATACTACAAGTAAAAGACCTGCCGCAGTAGCGAGGGAAGAAGAGGTTATAATCAGTGACAATAAGCCATTATTACTACCAACCGCTAAAACGATAGGGCATACAAGTACTGACGGATCAACCAATCATCCAGGACCAAGTGAACACACGTCAGCTGGAAATATTATTCAGGAGAGAGTAAGCTCCCAGCCAAGGGACAGACCTGTCGCTTGGAGCAGTACACATACTACAACTAAAACACCTACCGCAGTAGCAAGGGAAGAAGAGGTTATAATCAGTGACGATAAGCCATCATTACTACCAACCGCTAAAACGATAGGGCATACAAGTACTGCCGGATCAACCAATCATCCAGGACCAAGTGAACACACGTCAGCTGGAAATATTATTCAGGAGAGAGTAAGCTCCCAGCCTAGGGACAGATCTGTCGCTTGGAGCAGTACACACACTACAACTGAAACACCTACCGCAGTAGCGAGGGAAGGAGAGGTTATAATCAGTGACGATAAGCCATCATTACTACCAACTGCTAAAACGATAGGACATACAAGTACTGACGGATCAACCAATCATCCAGGACCAAGTCAATACACGTCAGCTGCAAATATTATGCAGGAGAGAATAAGCCCCCTGTCGAGGGAACGACCTGTCGCTTGGAGCAGTGCTCATACTACAACTAAAAGACCTGCCACAGTAGCGAGGGAAGAAGAGGTTATAATCAGTGACAATAAGCCATCATTACTACCAACTGCTAAATCGATAGGGCATACAAGTACTGACGGATCAACCAATCATTCAGGACCAAGTGAACACACGTCAGCTGGAAATATTATTCAGGAGAGCGTAAGCTCCCAGGCTAGGGAAAGACCTATCGCTTGGAACAGTGCTAATACTACAACTAAAAGACCTACCGCAGTAGCGAGGGAAGAAGAGGTTATAATCAGTGACAATAAGCCATCATTACTACCAACTGCTAAAACGATAGGGCATACAAGTACTGACGGATCAACCAATCATCCAGGACCAAGTCAATACACGTCAGCTGCAAATATTATGCAGGAGAGAATAAGCCCCCTGTCGAGGGAAAGACCAGCCGCTTGGAGCAGTGCTCATACTACAAGTAAAAGACCTGCCGCTGTTGCGAGCGAAGAAGAGGTTATAATCAGTGACAATGAGCCATCATTAGGAGCAACTGCTAAAACGATAGGGCATACAAGTACTGACGGACCAACCAATCATCCAGGACCAAGTGAGCACACGTCAGCTGGAAATATTATTCAGGAGAGCGTAAGCTCCCAGGCTAGGGAAAGACCTGTCGCTTGGAACAGTGCTCATACTACAACTAAAAGACCTGCCACAGTAGCGAGGGAAGAAGAGGTTATAATCAGTGACAATAAGCCATCATTACTACCAACTGCTAAAACGATAGGGCATACAAGTACTGACGGATCAACCAATCATCCAGGACCAAGTGAACACACGTCAGCTAGAAATATTATTCAGGAGAGCGTAAGCTCCCAGGCTAGGGAAAGACCTGTCGCTTGGAACAGTGCTCATACTACAACTAAAAGACCTGCCGCAGTAGCGAGGGAAGAAGAGGTTATAATCAGTGACAATAAGCCATCATTACTACCAACTGCTAAAACGATAGGACATACAAGTACTGACGGATCAACCAATCATCCAGGACCAAGTCAATACACGTCAGCTGCAAATATTATGCAGGAGAGAATAAGCCCCCTGTCGAGGGAAAGACCAGCCGCTTGGAGCAGTGCTCATACTACAAGTAAAAGACCTGCCGCTGTTGCGAGTGAAGAAGAGGTTATAATCAGTGACAATGAGCCATCATTAGGAACAACTGCTAAAACGATAGGGCATACAAGTACTGACGGATCAACCAATCATCCAGGACCAAGTGAGCACACGTCAGCTGGAAATATTATTCAGGAGAGCGTAAGCTCACAGGCTAGGGAGAGACCTGTCGCTTGGACCAGTGCTCATACTACAACTAAAAGACCTGCCACAGTAGCGAGGGAAGAAGAGGTTATAATCAGTGACAATAAGCCATCATTACTACCAACTGCTGAAACGATAGGGCATACAAGTACTGACGGATCAACCAATCATCCAGGACCAAGTGAGCACACGTCAGCTAGAAATATTATTCAGGAGAGCGTAAGCTCCCAGGCTAGGGAAAGACCTGTCGCTTGGAACAGTGCTCATACTACAACTAAAAGACCTGCCGCAGTAGCGAGGGAAGAAGAGGTTATAATCAGTGACAATAAGCCATCATTACTACCAACTGCTAAAACGATAGGACATACAAGTACTGACGGATCAACCAATCATCCAGGACCAAGTCAATACACGTCAGCTGCAAATATTATGCAGGAGAGAATAAGCCCCCTGTCGAGGGAAAGACCAGCCGCTTGGAGCAGTGCTCATACTACAAGTAAAAGACCTGCCGCTGTTGCGAGTGAAGAAGAGGTTATAATCAGTGACAATGAGCCATCATTAGGAACAACTGCAAAAACGATAGGGCATACAAGTACTGACGGATCAACCAATCATCCAGGACCAAGTGAGCACACGTCAGCTGGAAATATTATTCAGGAGAGCGTAAGCTCACAGGCTAGGGAGAGACCTGTCGCTTGGAACAGTGCTCATACTACAACTAAAAGACCTGCCACAGTAGCGAGGGAAGAAGAGGTTATAATCAGTGACAATAAGCCATCATTACTACCAACTGCTGAAACGATAGGGCATACAAGTACTGACGGATCAACCAATCATCCAGGACCAAGTCAATACACGTCAGCTGCAAATATTATGCAGGAGAGAATAAGCCCCCTGTCGAGGGAAAGACCTGCCGCTTGGAGCAGTGCTCATACTACAAGTAAAAGACCTGCCGCTGTTGCGAGCGAAGAAGAGGTTATAATCAGTGACAATGAGCCATCATTAGGAACAACTGCTAAAACGATAGGGCATACAAGTACGGACGGATCAACCAATCATCCAGGACCAAGTGAACCCACGTCAGCTGGAAATATTATTCAGGAGAGCGTAAGCTCCCAGGCTAGGGAAAGACCTGTCGCTTGGAGCAGTGCTCATACTACAACTAAAAGACCTGCCGCAGTAGCGAGGGAAGAAGAGGTTATAATCAGTGACAATAAGCCATCATTACTACCAACTGCTGAAACGATAGGGCATACAAGTACTGACGGATCAACCAATTATCCAGGACCAAGTGAGCACACGTCAGCTGGAAATATTATTCAGGAGAGCGTAAGCTCCCAGGCTAGGGAAAGACCTGTCGCTTGGAACAGTGCTCATACTACAACTAAAAGACCTGCCGCAGTAGCGAGGGAAGAAGAGGTTATAATCAGTGACAATAAGCCATCATTACTACCAACTGCTAAAACGATAGGACATACAAGTTCTGACGGATCAACCAATCATCCAGGACCAAGTCAATACACGTCAGCTACAAATATTATGCAGGAGAGAATAAGCCCCCTGTCGAGGGAAAGAACTGCCGCTTGGAGCAGTGCTCATACTACAAGTAAAAGACCTGCCGCTGTTGCGAGCGAAGAAGAGGTTATAATCAGTGACAATGAGCCATCATTAGGAACAACTGCTAAAACGATAGGGCATACAAGTACTGACGGATTAACCAATCATCCAGGACCAAGTGAGCACACGTCAGCTGGAAATATTATTCAGGAGAGCGTAAGCTCCCAGGCTAGGGAAAGACCTGTCGCTTGGAACAGTGCTCATACTACAACTGAAAGACCTGCCACAGTAGCGAGGAAAGAAGAGGTTATAATCAGTGACAATAAGCCATCATTATTACCAACTGCTAAAACGATAGAGCATACAAGTACTGACGGATCAACCAATCATCCCGGACCAAGTGAACACACGTCAGCTGGAAATATTATTCAGGAGAGCGTAAACTCCCAGGCTAGGGAAAGACCTGTCGCTTGGAACAGTGCTCATACTACAACTGAAAGACCTGCCACAGTAGCGAGGGAAGAAGAAGTTATAATCAGTGACAATAAGCCATCATTACTACCAACTGCTAAAACGATAGGACATACAATTACTGGCCGATCAACCAATCATCCAGGACCAAGTGAACACACGTCTGCTGCTAATATTATTCAGGAGAGAATAAGCTCCCTGTCGAAGGAAAGACCAGTCACTTGGAGCAGTGCACATACTACAAGTAAAACACCTGCCGCAGTAGCGAGGGAAGAAGAGGTTATAATCAGTGACAATAAGCCATCATTACTACCAACTGCTAAAACGATAGGGCATACAAGTACTGACGGATCAACCAATCATCCAGGACCAAGTGAACACACGTCAGCTGGAAATATTATTCAGGGGAGAGTAAGCTCTCAGCCTAGGGACAGACCTGTCGCTTGGAGCGGTGCTCATACTACAAGTAAAAGACCTGCCGCAGTAGCGAGGGAGGAAGAGGTTATAATCAGTGACAATAAGCCATCATTAGGAACGACTGTTAAAACGGCAGGGCATTCAAGTACAGGCGGATTAACCAGTGAACCACGTCCAAGTGAACACGTGTTATCTGGAAATATCATTCAAGGAAAAGTAAGCACCCTGTCGTGGGAAAGACCTACTCCTTGGATCAAAGCTGATACCATAAGTGAAGGTACTGCCAAAACAGCGTGGCAGAGAGAGGCTATAATCAGTGGCAGTAAGTCGTCATCAGTAAAAATTGTTGAAACGATTGGGCATACAAGTACAGAAAGACCGACAAGTCGTCCAAAACCAACTGAACAAACGTCACCAGAATCGACTATTTATGACAGAATTAACACCATTTCGAGCAGTACCCCCACCATTTGGAGCAGTGCTAATACTACAACTGACGGAACTGTCACAGCCGCGAAACACGGAGAGACTATAATCAGTAACAGTAAGCCATCATTAGGAACAATTATTGAAACGATTGTACATACAGCTACAGATAGACCGACAAGTGAGCCAACTGAACAAACGTCATCCGGAACAATTATTTATGACAGAATTAACACCATTTCGAGCGGAACACCCATCACTTGGAGCGGTGCTGATACTACAATTATAGGAACTGTCACCGCAGTGGGGCACTGAGAAAATGTAATCAGTAGCAGTAAACCATCATTAGTAACAATTAGTGGATAGGGCATAGGGCATACAAGTGCAGGAATATCAACAAATAGTTCAGGACCAAGTGAACAGACGTCATCTGAAACTAGTATTCAAGATAGAATAACACCATCTCGAGCGAAACACCCACCACTTGGAACAGTGCTGAAACCTCCACTGAAGGAACTGCCACAACAGGGGAGGAAGATCAACAAGTATGTCAGGGTCAGCTTGACAGCTTCATCTAGATCTACTAAAGAAGGTACCGATAGCGTCACTTGAATTAGAAGGTCCACTACTTCAGGCAGATTTGAAGGTACGGTAGAAGTTCAATCAATGACTCGCTAGTAGCAATGGACCATATTTGATAACCGCCAGTGAAACTGAAGAGACAGATACTGACAAATAATCAAGTCATTCAGGGTTAACTAGTGAAACTGCAGTTGGTTTTACTGGCAGAGACATTTAGAAAGCGCAGGAACCGCAATTGGAGAAACTAGCACAATTGGAAAGTGAGCTTATCATTAGTGATTTTATTAAATTACTTTTAATGTTGTTGAGGTGTATAATTTTCGATTCGTGGATATGGTGGTAGGAGGAATTTTTGTGACCATAAATTTGTGGTCATACTGATTTGCACACATTGTAGCACAGAAAATGTTCTTATAATTCTGGTTATCATTAAAAGTTCTATGACTGGAAATACTAATAGTTTTACTCTAAAGTCATGCAAATGCCATTATTGCTGTAGAAGATTGAATAATAAAAAAGGTTAGATAGTAAAGTATTTAACAAGAATTTCCATTATACTTATTATTTCCTCTTATTTACCTTAAAATCGACACTTCCTATTCATATTTTATGAATCAACTTTATGAATAACACATTGGACAAACGTTTAATTGATTTCCATATACAAGGGATGATCATAATTTATATTCATACATGTTTATCTTTCATAGTATAATTTCCACATAAATTTCTAATTCGTAGAAACAATACGTGGATTATCCATTTATGCATTGATTAACTATAATACTTTGATTATTTCATAAATATAACATCTATACTTGATGTCACGAGAGTCCATAACTAAGCGCGCAGGTTGGAAGATGGCGGGGGAACGCAGCGATGGTGGGGAAAAGCGATCCGCCAATCGCTTTCCACTTCCGCTGGAAGTATCACCAATCAGAACGACAATGCGCAGAAAAGAACGAAAACTGGTCTTTTCGCAGTTATGGACTCTCGTGACATCAAGTATACATACAGTATTTATATTTTAGACTTAAAAAGTTACAAACATTCTTCAAATAAGAAGTCGAACGCAAAAGTCCAGGTATTAGTGCTTAAGCGTAATTGCAATGCAGATGTGCCACCATTAATCCCAATTAAAATATCATTTCTAAAATTACGTATGTATGAACAATAAGCCACCATACCGCGTATAATAATTCAATTGTGTCTACTGTTACGCAAATATCTTAATTATACCAAGTTTGTTGATAAACAAACGTTAATTAAAGAAACAAGTCGATTAGCTATTCCGTTGTATTTTATAAATAGAATAATAGCTACAACCCATGATAACATAGGTTCTAGAAGTAATGACGATGCATTAGTAGGTTTTAATACCTTCTTTGTCTTTAACTCCATCATACTTAATGCAAATATTGTTTCGTTGCGTTTGATGGATTTACAGCATAACAGTCTGCTAGATTACTATCTTTAGATGGATCTCAAAAGTACGTCTTCTATTAAAGAATTAATTGCAATCAATCAGCAGCTGTAGACAAATAAATATATAAATATTATAGGTTGCAAACAAAAAATCTACTACAATATGCAAAATATGAGATTCACATAAGACTTAAGAATTACAAAAGTTAAAGTTTATACCACCATTTCAACACATTCAGTAATATTAATATTCATATTAATAACATCATTAATATTATTATTATTATTTGTAATATTTATATAACGTGATATTAACCTTATGTCAGTATAATATTATATTAAAAATCATTGAATGTTATTTAAATACTAATTAATATAATAATATTTTCGTTTGTTTCATTCATCTAGCGAAGGAGTTAACTAAAACTTAATTGGTACAAATTAATAGATGAAACTTCCCATATGTACAGAGTGTTCCGTTTGAAGTGAATCACGTGGTGATCACATTTTTACAAAATAGAGTGACAGTTAAACTTCATAATCATCAAAGTATTATATTTATATTTTTAAGTTAAATAGTTTATAAATACTATTACATACCGCATTTGATGGCGATAAATACAGTACCACGTATTCATGTTTGGATGGTTAAATTCAAATCTTCTATATAACTAAAGAAGTATAAAAAAGAAGCAAATACTATGTACTATAACAGTATTTTTGTCAAAGAATGTTAATTAAAATAAACGTTCATAATTTCCATGACAATTTGATTAATTAAAAATCCCACTAAAAAAAGCAATCTAATTTAAAGAATTCATTTACTAATTATTTCATGTAATTTAATTTTTGTATTAGAAATTTGTCTGACTTATTCGCAATAGAAGTTTAATGACCGGTAACTTTTCAAATTCACCTAAGTAGGATGTGAGTTAATACAATAATACTCGGATTGCCAGTGTTCAAATGTGGTAGTAGTTCCTGTTAAATTCTTTAAAGCAAACTGACTGAAGCTGCCTGTTCCTAAGCACTTGCCGAAAAATTTAAAAAAAATCAAATACAACGTTTCTGTCACGTTTGAAGACAAAATTGTATACCTAACATCATATTTACGCACATCTTGTGTAACTGTGCAATACTAATATGCTGACGTAGATTTTTTCCCACTTCTTATTATATTCTTTCGTTATAACATTCATAAACCTTTATCTATTCTTATCGTTTGGTAAGCAAAGTACGCTAAAATATGCAATGTGCGCTAAAAAAAGTATATTATTTTCTGTGTATATTTTAGGATCCAAGAAAACTTTTCAAAAATATTAATATTCAAGAAGATTATATTTTCTTAATAGGAAACAAGAAACAGTTTGTGGATTGTACTCGAAATGAAACGAAACATTGATAGCTCTTATCAGTGCAATATTTGGGGAAAAACTGACAATAATTGTACTAGAAATGTGAAAACTAATCAGAAGGGAAGAACAAATTAAGCACTTTCTCATACAAAATAATTTTGCGTAAAATTGATTTCAATGATTCTTATTGTGTTATTGTTGAATTATTATATTGTTTATTCTTGTATTAATTATTCTATAATGGTGCTCGTAAATCATTTCGCTTTCGAAATTTTAATCATTAAATATATTAAGATCATTCAAGAATGATCAAAAAAGCTGTTTGTATTACATCAAAAATTGTAACTTATAAATATTACAAGAACAAAACATTCCAAATTTTATTTTCGTTTTACCATTAAACAATGATATCTTGAAATTGCAGTTATACGACACAATCATTGCATTCCTTGTTTAATTAGTATAATCTATACCTGTAATTAACATTCGTCGGATGGCAATTAGAACCAATCTCTGGAAGCTCGAGTTCATTAAACAGCCTGAGAATTTCCAGACTCGTGTAAAGATTAATTTATCTCACATATATGTATAGTACTTACTGGAAATCCGCGAGAATCTCACGTTTCACAAGAAGACTAGCGTCTCTTTTCTACCTATTACTTTTCTTGTCGTATAACTTCAATCTTTGGAACTATTGTTTTTGCATCGAAACAATAACTGATTTGTAAGCTCAAATAATTTTAGTTGACTTCGACATTACAACAGCTGACTGATTAATTTTTTCTAATCAAGAAATTTCATTCATGACGACATAAGAAATATTATGTTTACAAAATCTTGTAATTTGTTATGTTACACCTTTATTAGTGTGCAAAAATCAGAAAACTTCAGGTATCCGAAATTCGGGTTGAGTCAAGTCGGATCGGTTTCTTAAAAGTATAGATGTGCTAGAATCCGAAAATTTCAAGTACCCAATAATCAGATTGGGTCGGGAATTACTTCAGTCAGCTTAGGATTCCCGAAATTTGGAGAACTGTGTTTTGGGACGATCTTCGTTGAACATGTCCGTCTATGGGAAGTGTTCACAAAAACTATATCTAATATAATCTGATTCGACCAAATCAATTCTCGACTCAACCGGACTATCGGGTACCCGAAATTTTCGAGTTCTCGCACAACTCACCCCACTGGGGAGAATTTAGAGAAAATAGGTTGCAATTGAGAAAAAGAAATACTTATATGTATTATATTATATAAATGCTTATATGCAATACTTTGCATGAATTATAATATGACACAAACAACTTGAGTTGCAGTTGTACCCACATTACATATGAAACCAGAGAGTTAAACACTTTAAAAAAACAAAATTATGATGTTGATTAACATTTAATTAAAATAAGATAATACTACATAATAAAGTAACGCTTATTTAAATCAAATATCTAGTCGATAGAAATATAAGATAACTCAAATATTAAGAAATCCAGACGAGAAATAAATACTTCCTATTGACATTAACTACCGGCGAAAAAGTGATTTCGGAGACATAGATAAGAAATGCTGAAGAAAAAGTTGTGTTTTACAATATCGAATTATCTGAAAGGCAAACATAACTTAAACCAAATCACGATCGATGTCACGGGTATATGCATCGTATTCAACAAATTGAAACATGTGTGCGCCAGTCACAATAAATCATATTTACCTCACGTTGTGAAAATTGGGATGCTTTGTTTATAAAGGCATTAGACGAAAAATAAGATGAATCATTGTAATAATGCTCATAAATTTTATCTCAAGAACCGATAAGGAACATTTATCAGAAGACAACTGTATAAAAAGACCTCGGGCCAATTAAACAATGAGTCGAAGTGACGATGTGTAGTTGGTGAAGCGGTACATGTGTATTTCATAAAAGTTTCTTGCGATGAAAGGTAACATCGAAAAAAAAACAAAACAAATACCTACTGTTTTGAAAAGTGAAATGTATCATAGGAGTAAATAGAAAGTTTTGTGTTGTTCTCCGAATTTAATAAAGTATCATCTTTATAAATACATATCTATATCATATATGTATTTCTTTTATGTTTGATATTAAATTATACATACGGAAATTATATACATTAACTTAAAGATTTGATGTGATTTATTATACTGTATATTCATTATATAATATTTGGAAGTGATCACTAAATTCGAATTTTTGAAAATCGTACTCTTTCTGTTAAAAATGGTCAATTCACTCATTATTAGTGAAAATATAAGAGCTGTATACATTTCTCTTTTTCACTTTAGACTATATTATTTGAGCCTTAACAAATTATATTTACCACCTGTTTATAGATGTTATTAATATTCCAACATTCATGGCATCATGACGTCATAACATTTATTCATTGTTGGTAGGTTTCGTCTTCCTTCTAATTGTCACTTTACTTGCGCATACGCATGGTGCACCATCTGAAACCTCATCATGGAAAGACACGGTAGAACAATTGCAAAAGGAAATAAGGGTAAAAAAAGATGAAACTATTCAGCGACTTCACGACTGGGGCTCAGCACTATTGCCCAATCTCGACAAACTAGCAGGGTTTGGAAGAAATCCCCAAAATTCTGTGAAAAAAGAAAGTGATAGAAACGAGGTAAGGAAACCTTCAAATCCATTCGATTTACTGCCAGGAAACAGGTGGAGTTCCCCTTATAACCGAAAAAATCAGGGGAAGAATTCTGAGAGTACAAATTTGAAGGAGAAAGAATCCACGGATGAAAAGTTTAACCAACGAAACCCATACAAAAGAAGCTCTCAAGAAAATGATCCTCACAACAACAGAAATCCTCTCGACTGGATTTTTAATAAGAAGCGTCCAAAACAAAATAACAATGAATCAGGCGAAAAGGACCAACCCAATAAGAAAGACTCTTCAGAATCTTCAACTTCAACAGATGAAATCAGCGCAGCAATTTCACACACTCGCAAGCAAACAAATCATAAACAGAGAGAAAAAAATAAAAACAGCGCAAAAAACAATAACAGTTCACAGGATTCGAGTGAAAAGGATTCACCCAATACAAAGGATTCTTCAGAATTATCAAATTCAATTGATCAAATTAGATCCTCCCATTCACATTCTGATAAAGAAAGAGACAGAAAACATCAGAGAAATAGCCAACATGATTCAAAAGAAAAGGATACGAATGAGGAAGAATTCAAAGGATTCTTAACGAAAGTAAAAGAAAAAGTGGAAAATGCTACGTATATAATACAAATGCTTAAACACAACAAGAACAACGAATGTAGACACCTTACACCAATAGAAATGTACTACAGAAGATTATACGAATATAACAAGGCTAGATACATTGAATGGAGCAAGAAACTGGGCATAAAAAAGTACATACTAAGCCATTTAAAAAATTTAAGCATAGAAAAACTGTTGCATATCTGCAAAATAAAGAAACAAATCAACCACGAGCATCGGCTAATTCTAATTAAAAAATGTATTAATGTCCACCTCTCCATTAACGATACCTTCGAAATTGTGACAGAACCACCACCACTTTCACCACAAGATCCAACGTCCTGGAAGTGTGGAAAAACAACAAAACCTCCATGGCCAGTAACACAGTCCACTTCCATATGGCAAAATAATTGGAGCTCGAGCATAGAAGCTAGCAGCACAATGACAAAAATACCAAATACTTCACGGACAAAGCGAAGCACCCAAACACAGGCAACGGAGGACAGCAGCGTGAGCTCCAGCTCGCCCAACACCGTAAGCTCAAAGGAACCAACGTCCACCACAACGGAGGAACCAAGGCATTCCAGTAACAGTACCGACTCATCATCTGGACAACCAACCGGGCCCTCTCAGCAGACAAACACAGAAGAACCTACGAGCCCATCGCAGGCAACAGGCAGTACTGAAACACGGCCATCTGAGGAACCTACGGAGAGGTCCAGCTTGAGCAGCACTGGAAGTTCAGCTGGCGGGCCATCGTCGACAGAATCATCAGGGCCCCCTCAGTCGACAAGTACAGAAGAATCTACGAGCCCATCACAGTCAACAGGCAGTAGCGAAACACGCCCATCTGAGGGATCTACGGAGAGCTCCAGCTTGAGCAGCACTAGAAGTTCTGCTGGACCCTCTTCCTCGACAACTGGAGGACCGTCATCGGCAGAACCATCGGGCTCTTCTGAGTCAACTAGTACAGAAGAACCTACTAGCCAATCGCAGTCAACAGGTAGTACTGGACCCATCCCGTGTGAAGAACCTACGAAAAGCTCCAGATTGAGCAGCACAGGAAGTTCAGCTGGACCCTCCTCTCCGACAACTGGCGGAACATCATGGACAGAATCATCCGGGCCCCCCCAGTCGACAGGTACAGATGAATCTACGAGCCCATCACAGTCAACAGGCAGTACCGAAACACGCCCATCTGAGGAACCTACGGAGAACTCCAGCTTGAGCAGCACTGGAAGTTCAGCTGGACCTTCTTCCTCTACAACTGGCGGACCATCATCGGCAGAACCATCGGACTCCTCTGAGTCAACTAGTACACAAGAACCTACTAGCCAATCGCAGTCAACAGGCAGTACCGAAACGCGCCCATCCGAGGAACCTACGGAGAGCTCCAGCTTGAGTAGCACTGGAAGTTCAGCTGGACCTTCCTCTCCGACAACTGGCGGAACATCATCGACAGAATCATCAGGGCCCCCCCAGTCGACAGGTACAGATGAATCTACGAGCCCATCACAGCCAACAGGCAGTACCGAAACACGCCCATCTGAGGGACCTACGGAGAGCTCCAGCTTGAGCAGCACTGGAAGTTCTGCTGGACCTTTTTCCTCGACAACTGGAGGACCGTCATCGGCAGAACCATCGGGCTCTTCTGAGTCAACTAGTACAGAAGAACCTACTAGCCAATCGCAGTCAAAAGGTAGTACTGGAACCATCCCGTGTGAGGAACCTACGGAAAGCTCCAGATTGAGCAGCACTGGAAGTTCAGCTGGACCTTCCTCTCCGACAACTGGCGGAACATCATGGACAGAATCATCCGGGCCCCCCCAGTCGACAGGTACAGATGAATCTACGAGCCCATCACAGTCAACAGGCAGTACCGAAACACGCCCATCTGAGGGACCTACGGAGAGCTCCAGCTTGAGCAGCACTGGAAGTTCAGCTGGACCTTCCTCTCCGACAACTGGCGGAACAACATCGACAGAATCATCCGGGCCCCCCCAGTCGACAGGTACAGATGAATCTACGAGCCCATCACAGTCAACAGGCAGTACCGAAACGCGCCCATCTGAGGAACCTACGGAGAGCTCCAGCTTGAGCAGCACTGGAAGTTCAGCTGGACCTTCTTCTTCGACAACTGACGGATCATCATCGGCAGAACCATCGGGCTCTTCTGAGTCAACTAGTACAGAAGAACCTACTAGCCCATCACAGTCAACAGGCAGTACCGAAACGCGCCCATCTGAGGAACCTACGGAGAGCTCCAGCTTGAGCAGCACTGGAAGTTCTGCTGGACCTTCATCCTCGACAACTGGAGGACCGTCATCGGCAGAACCATCGGGCTCCTCTGAGTCAACTAGTACAGAAGAACCTACTAGCCAATCGCAGTCAACAGGTAGTACTGGAACCATCCCGTGTGAGGAACCTACGGAAAGCTCCAGCTTGAGCAGCACAGGAAGTTCAGCTGGACCTTCTTCCTCTACAACTGGAGGATCATCATCGTCAGAACCATCGCGGTCCTCTGAGTCAACTAGTACAGACGAACCTACTAGCCAGTCGCAGTCAACGGGTACTACTGGAACCATCCCGTGTGAGGAACCTACGGAGAGCTCCAGCTTGAACAGCATTGGTAGTTCTGCTGGACCTTCATCCTCGACAACTGGAGGACCATCATCGTCAGAACCATCGGGGTCCTCTGAGTCAACAAGTACGGTAGAACCTACGAGGCCATCACAGTCAACAGGCAATACCGAAACCCGCCCATCTGAGGAACCTACGGAGATCTCCAGTTTGAGCAGCATTGGTAGTTCTGCTGGACCTTCTTCCTCTACAAGTAGCGGACCATCATCGTCAGAACCATCGCGGTCCTCTGAGTCAACTAGTACAGACGAACCTACTAGCCAATCGCAGTCAACGGGTACTACTGGGACCCCCCCATGTGAGGAACCTACGGAGAGCTCCAGCTTGAGCAGCACTGGAAGTTCAGCTGGACCTTCTTCCTCGATAACTGAAGGACCGTCATCGGCAGAACCATCAGGTTCTTCTGAGTCAACTAGTACAGAAGAACCTACTAGCCAATCGCAGTCAACAGGTAGTACTGGAACCATCCCGTGTGAGGAACCTACGGATAGCTCCAGATTGAGCAGCACAGGAAGTTCTGCTGGACCTTCCTCTCCGACAACTGGCGGAACATCATCGACAGAATCATCCGGGCCCCCCCAGTCGACAGGTACAGATGAATCTACGAGCCCATCACAGTCAACAGGCAGTACCGAAACACGCCCATCTGAGGGACCTACGGAGAGCTCCAGCTTGAGCAGCACTGGAAGTTCTGCTGGACCTTCTTCCTCGACAACTGGCGGAACATCATCGGCAGAACCATCGGGCTCCTCTGAGTCAACTAGTACAGACGAACCTACTAGCCAGTCGCAGTCAACGGGTACTACTGGGACCCTCCCATGTGAGGAACCTACGGAGAGCTCCAGCTTGAGCAGCACTGGAAGTTCAGCTGGACCTTCTTCCTCTACAACTGGCGGACCATCATCGGCAGAACCATCGGACTCCTCTGAGTCAACTAGTACACAAGAACCTACTAGCCAATCGCAGTCAACAGGCAGTACTGAAACGCGCCCATCTGAGGAACCTACGGAGAGCTCCAGCTTGAGTAGCACTGGAAGTTCAGCTGGACCTTCTTCCTCTACAACTGGCGGACCATCATCGGTAGAACCATCGGGCTCCTCTGAGTCAACTAGTACAGAAGAACCTACTAGCCAGTCGCGGTCAACAGGTAGTACTGGAACCATCCCGTGTGAGGAACCTACGGAGAGCTCCAGCTTGAGCAGCATTGGTAGTTCTGCTGGACCTTCTTCCTCGACAACTGGAGGACCATCATCGTCAGAACCATCGGGGTCCTCTGTGTCAACTAGTACAGAAGAACCTACTAACCCATCACAGTCAACAGGCAGTACCGAAACGCGCCCATCTGAGGAACCTACGGAGAGCTCCAGCTTGAGCAGCACTGGAAGTTCAGCTGGACCTTCTTCTTCGACAACTGACGGAACATCATCGACAGAATCATCCGGGCCCCCCCAGTCGACAGGTACAGATGAATCTACGAGCCCATCACAGTCAACAGGCAATACCGAAACACGCCCATCTGAGGGACCTACGGAGAGCTCCAGCTTGAGCAGCACTGGAAGTTCTGCTGGACCTTCTTCCTCGACAACTGGAGGACCGTCATCGGCAGAACCATCGGGCTCTTCTGAGTCAACTAGTACAGAAGAACCTACTAGCCCATCACAGTCAACAGGCAGTACCGAAACGCGCCCATCTGAGGAACCTACGGAGAGCTCCAGCTTGAGCAGCACTGGAAGTTCAGCTGGACCTTCTTCTTCGACAACTGACGGATCATCATCGGCAGAACCATCGGGCTCTTCTGAGTCAACTAGTACAGAAGAACCTACTAGCCCATCACAGTCAACGGGCAGTACCGAAACGCGCCCATCTGAGGAACCTACGGAGAGCTCCAGCTTGAGCAGCACTGGAAGTTCTGCTGGACCTTCATCCTCGACAACTGGAGGACCGTCATCGGCAGAACCATCGGGCTCCTCTGAGTCAACTAGTACAGAAGAACCTACTAGCCAATCGCAGTCAACAGGTAGTACTGGAACCATCCCGTGTGAGGAACCTACGGAAAGCTCCAGCTTGAGCAGCACAGGAAGTTCAGCTGGACCTTCTTCCTCTACAACTGGAGGATCATCATCGTCAGAACCATCGCGGTCCTCTGAGTCAACTAGTACAGACGAACCTACTAGCCAATCGCAGTCAACGGGTACTACTGGGACCCTCCCATGTGAGGAACCTACGGAGAGCTCCAGCTTGAGCAGCACTGGAAGTTCAGCTGGACCTTCTTCTTCGACAACTGACGGATCATCATCGGCAGAACCATCGGGCTCTTCTGAGTCAACTAGTACAGAAGAACCTACTAGCCCATCACAGTCAACGGGCAGTACCGAAACGCGCCCATCTGAGGAACCTACGGAGAGCTCCAGCTTGAGCAGCACTGGAAGTTCTGCTGGACCTTCATCCTCGACAACTGGAGGACCGTCATCGGCAGAACCATCGGGCTCCTCTGAGTCAACTAGTACAGAAGAACCTACTAGCCAATCGCAGTCAACAGGTAGTACTGGAACCATCCCGTGTGAGGAACCTACGGAAAGCTCCAGCTTGAGCAGCACAGGAAGTTCAGCTGGACCTTCTTCCTCTACAACTGGAGGATCATCATCGTCAGAACCATCGCGGTCCTCTGAGTCAACTAGTACAGACGAACCTACTAGCCAATCGCAGTCAACGGGTACTACTGGGACCCTCCCATGTGAGGAACCTACGGAGAGCTCCAGCTTGAGCAGCACTGGAAGTCCAGCTGGACCTTCTTCCTCTACAACTGGCGGACCATCATCGGCAGAATCATCCGGACCCTCCGAGTCGACAAGTACAGAAGAACCTACAAGCCCATCGCAATCAACAGGCAGTACCGAAACCAGCCCATCTGAGGAACCTACGGAGAGCTCCAGCTTGAGCAGCACTGGAAGTCCAGCTGGACCTTCTTCCTCTACAGCTGGCGGACCATCATCGACAGAATCATCCGGGCCCCAACAGTCAACAGGTACAGATGAATCTACGAGCCCATCACAGCCAACAGGCAGTACCGAAACGCGCCCATCTGAGGAACCTACGGAGAACTGCAGCTTGAGCAGCACTGGAAGTTCAGCTGGACCTTCTTCCTCTACAACTGGCGGACCATCATCGGCAGAACCAACGGACTCCGCTGAGTCAACTAGTACACAAGAACCTACTAGCCAATCGCAGTCAACAGGCAGTACCGAAACGCGCCCATCTGAGGAACCTACGGAGAGCTCCAGCTTGAGTAGCACTGGAAGTTCAGCTGGACCTTCCTCTCCGACAACTGGCGGAACATCATCGACAGAATCATCCGGGCCCCCCCAGTCGACAGGTACAGATGAATCTACGAGCCCATCACAGTCAACAGGCAGTACCGAAACACGCCCATCTGAGGGACCTACGGAGAGCTCCAGCTTGAGCAGCACTGGAAGTTCTGCTGGACCTTCTTCCTCGACAACTGGAGGACCGTCATCGGCAGAACCATCGGGCTCTTCTGAGTCAACTAGTACAGAAGAACCTACTAGCCCATCACAGTCAACAGGCAGTACCGAAACGCGCCCATCTGAGGAACCTACGGAGAGCACCAGCTTGAGCAGTATTATACCATCCTCGGTAACTACTAGTGGTAGTACTCGTTCTACAAGTGCCGAAGATTCTAGGGATGTTTCTCGACCACGACGAGACACGTCATCGCGCGCTGCTGATGGTTATGTGGAAAGCACAATCCAAATCTCGACTGAGATGTCTGGCACTACCGAGCGTCAACCGCAGACTACAGGCAGTAGCAATATTCCTTCATCGGTGACTGGTCGTGAAACGTCACAATCTGAAAGTACCGTGGCATCTATTAGTACTTTGGAGCCGGCAAAGAGTTCTTCACAATCTACTGAGTGGCTTGCCGAAAGCTCTACCTTAAGTGGTACGCAAACTGTATCCGATGTTTCAACGTTGGCATCCGAAAATATTGTTATATCTGGTAACGTAGAAGTTGCTGTTGAGAGCAATATTGGCGGCAGCTCTGCTAATAAGAGCATAGTGGAATCTGGTACTTTTAATCTAACAATAGAGGACGTTGCGAAAGCCAATATAACTGGTTTTCATATTAACGGATCTTCTATTGTAATGGACGGAGAGTTGATTAGAACGAATGGTACAGGATCTCACGGAGTTGTTATTGTGGACCAAATTCATATTTCTGGCAGTCTTGATATTAGTGTTGAGGAACACAATGAGACCATTTTGCCTAATCCCGGTAGTTTGACGAGTTTGGGTAAGAACAGAACCAGGATACCTGGATCAGGGTCACCTATATTACAAATTAATGAAACCGGTGGGAATGTTGTTTCTTCCAATGATCTGTCGAGGGGATCTATAGCACTCCCTATTACCCCTTCACAAGGTTTGGAATCAACTGTGGAAACACAGCTAAATGATTTACAGACGAAGACATATGTGAATAATATACAATTTACTGACGAGAATTCGGTAACTGTGGGGAAAAGTATATTCGCTTTTGGTAATGATAATAATATTAGGAGTAATGCTGCACTCGATACAGCTGTTTCTAGAGCATCAGCGTCACTTCAGGCAGCTGGAGGTTCCAATTCAGATTCTTCCATGAAGAAGGTCGTCGTTTCCGTTGTATAGAAAAATTAAATATTGACGAAGAACTGGCATTGGATCTCGTTATAGGTGAAAACATGAAATTTTTAAATCAATTTAAAGCGATCAGAAATTTTTTAATGTTATTGTAACAGTTTATTATTTGTTTTCGGATGTTTATGGGCATTTTCCTCCCATTACCTGTCCCGTATATTTTGTTACAGGTGATTCGAGGAAGAAAATGATGAACTGAAATAGATATGAAGAAAATTCACTATATTCTGATAAAGTATTAGAACTAGTATTGAAACATTATTTGCTGGTATATTAATATACATGGCAGCAAGAAGTTTGTTAACGAGTAAACCAAGAATACTAACAAATTTTATATGTAGTCATAGATAATTGTGTTATTGTTCAATGTTGGGCAACTTTTTATTGTTACTGAGATTGATATTAATAAGATATTATTTAGTATAGAATTATACACGTTTTGTTTTTAACATTTTTTTTAACCAAATATGTTGAAATATATATATATAATGTTCATATTATAACTCTGCGTTTTCTAATTCATACTTGTACATCCCTACAAAATCTAAACAATTAGTAGCAATTATATTTTGTTCATAGTTTGTTTGTAAAATAGAATGTCCTGATGAAAGGACAAGTATGATTAATTATTAATAATTTGTTCATTAACGTTTTTTTCAGAATATTTGTATTATTATACAAGCTATACGTAATACTTATTAGTTGATCAGATTAATTAAATATTATACAACTAGTATATGATCTTATAGAAAGATTAATTATGAGTATACTATAAGTTATCCAAAACCTATATTGTTATTTTTTAACTTCAGTTTTAGTTTATATTATTCATAGAGTAAGTTACAAAGAAATTCATTACTTCTATTTTATTAATATGTTGACAATTATGCAATACCATATATGGAATATTAGTGGAACAGATTTATTTCAAGTAAACCTGTATACACACATAGATTATCATCTAAATGCGTGTATCCACTTGTAATAAATATCTGTATGTCAACAAATAATGAAGAAACATATTTTCAACTAAATTGCATACTTCTTCAATATAATGTGTATAAAAGGAGACGCCTCTAATGTTTGTCACAAAGGAAGACGTAAAATATTTGCTGATGTGATACGTCTACAATACGTAATATAAATGACGCCACTTGCCCGGCAACCAGTTTGATTCATGGGATATGACGCAATAAATGCCAAGGTGAACTTGTAAAAAAAAGCATTCCACCTCCGATTTTTGTTTAAAAATTCAGAAATTTTTGAAATTTGACATTTTAAGCAACTTTTTTCCGCTACGGAGAGTTCCAGCTTGAGCAGCATTGGACCTTCAGCTGGACCTTCTTGCTCGACAACTGGCAAACCATCATCGGCAGAACCATCCGAGACCCCTCAGTCGCTTAGTTTTCAAAATATTTGCAAAAAACCGTGAGTATTACTACATTGAATTTCACCCGTACATGTACACCCGTCGCAGTGTGCGTCGGCAAGTAAGCCTCAATTATTTACTGTTAAACTAAGCGAATCCAACATATATGTAGATTAGAGGGAAAAAATTGCTTAAAACGTCGAGATTTAAACATATTAAAAATCATCGAAATCGGAGGGGGAGCGCCTTTTCTACAAGGTCATTCCAAATTTGCTCGAGTGAACGTTGATAGGCGACTGGTACGATCTTCTTCCCCTATCACGCCCGTCATTCTAGGGTAACCTATCGTGCTCGATACTGTACTGTTTTTCGGCTTGACAATTCAATTGAAGGCGACGCGCTTGTCATCGAAACCCATTATTTCGAGGCGTTCTGCATCGTCTCGTTTCGATTGCCGGCCACGTAACTAACAAAGCATTCGTGTAACGGCTGCCTAGCTAACACTGACGTCACATTTGCTTCGCAGTCGTCCTGATACCATCGCGATGCATCGGTCAGTACAGTGTCCGTGACACGTCCTATATCGGTCAATGTTATCTCAACCTGTCCTCGATCGGGTCAGAGCGCGTATTACGACTCCCCCAGTGGAGCCAGCCAGTCGTGTCGGACAAACTGGAACGAAAAGACGAGCCTCTGGCGTCGTCGGTGTCCGTTTTTACACGTCTAATAGCTGGACAGTTGTTTGCATACCGTTCTCGGCAAGTTTCAAACAACGCTCGAGACGTCGAACCAACGATATGACGCTATCGCAATTATTTCACCGATAACTGACAACGATATCTCCACTGATGGTGAATTCTTAATAGACTGACCGTCCACTGATTAGACAGACGTACTCAACTGACTGTTCAGACTCACACTGGATCCTCCGATTAGCAAAAACGTCTGTTTAGGAAGGGATTTGAAGATGTGGTTCTTATTGTTAGTCCTGGCAGCGACCGGTGTTATGGGGCAAGCTGTAAATGTTCATGTGGAGAATGTAAGTATACAATGGAGTGTGTGCATTTTAAAAATAATTAAAAAAATATCGAATGAGGTTGTTAATATACTGCCCTCCTTTTAGTTATAATGTCCCGTTTACCATTTTTTCACTTTTCAAGATATTTTGAAATACTTCAAGCTCCATAACATTTTTGCTTTTTAAACAAATTTAGAATATTCTCGTGCTATAATAATTACCTTTCAAGTGATCCTATCAAATTAATTTGTACATCTAATACTAGCTAAATTAATTAACGAAATAACGAAAGATAGAACACGTTTAAAAATTCGTCAAATTTGTCATTTCAGGACACACAACTGAAATTTGGTTTTGAAGTTGATTACGTGAACGATCAATTTTTGCTCGATGGAAAACCGTTTCGATACGTTTCCGGCAGTTTTCATTATTTCCGAACGCCGAGACAATATTGGAGAGATCGTTTAAGAAAAATAAGAGCAGCTGGATTAAACGCTGTCTCTACGTGAGTTGAACAAATGAATTAAAATTCATTTACTTTCTTCGTCGGTAGTGGTTCCTGTTAATTCTTCATGAATTTCTTTTGTAAATTACAATTATTTTGTACTATTTCTATCTACAGTTACGTAGAATGGAGTCTTCATCAACCGACCGAGGATAAATGGGAATGGACAGGTGATGCAGATCTGCTGAAATTTTTGGATATTGCTCAGGAAGAAGATTTATTGGTCCTTTTAAGACCGGGTCCATACATCTGTGCAGAAAGAGACTTTGTAAGTATACTTTTTAGGAACGTATCAATTATTATTTATTGATTAATACGTTAATCAGGAGCGAACTGACTATCGAAAGATCGAATAAATTCTCAGAAGGTCGGTAAGGATTTTACACATAATTAATTAAAATTAGAACTTGTATTCTACGAGAAGGCTCTTGTTACTAGTCTCCCAATAAAAATGTAAGTCCCAGTCTGCCCTGTTGCAAAATATATACTAAAACTCTAATTATTAAGGATAAGAATGATTAACTTTTAAACTCAAACTTACAATTGCCTTACAGTATTAATATAACAATAGTCATTGATAACCCTCACAACATTCAACGTGTCAAACGCAAATTAATGCTTAAAATTGGACTGATAATGAAAATTAATAAAATTATTAAAATTATCATTTAGTAAATACCATAAAAATTATTATTCAAAAAATATTCACAAACAATTAACATTACATTTGATTTTATAAATTATAGTAAGTTATTAATTATTTTTGTTTTTTTCTTCATTTTTGCTTGTATCCTTAGGGCGGCCTTCCTTACTGGTTAATACCACGTGTATCATCCGGAAAATTACGCGTAAATGATCCACGTAAGAAGTTCCTTAGCCTTCAATAATTATCTCGCGTAATTATCAACATATTTTACAATTTAAATCATTTTATTATCTTACAGAATACATGCATTATGCGGAAATATACTTAAATGAAGTGTTGGAACGTGTTAAGCCCTATCTCAGAGGAAACGGAGGTCCCATAATAATGGTTCAGGTATAAGTAGAGATAATTATTTATTTTAAGTATTGCTTACTTAATAATCTCTAAGCTACTGAATAATATACTCGCGCTCATTAATTTGAATGAAAGATTATCTTTTATTATTCTGACAATGCTTCTAACTAAAAAAATACAATTATTACTTAGAATTCAGAGATTTTCAAAGTGATACAAAGTTCAAAGGAGAGAAGCTTAGAACATTCATACTCGTTCTATCTTAAAATCAATGAGAACAGATTGTCTATTTCATGAAAACATTCGTTGTTTATGTGTTTTCAGGTGGAAAACGAGTATGGAAGCTTTGCTTGCGACACACAATACATGAGTCGTCTACGGGATATAATGAAAGAGAAAATTGAGACAAAGGCTTTATTGTACACAACCAATGGTGCGAATGATGTTATGCTTAGTTGTGGATCTGTGCCAAACGTTTATACCACCATTGACTTTGGAACTTCTACAAATGTGAAAAAAACTTTCGAAACCTTGCGCGTCTATCAATCTCAGGTAAACATTAACAGATAACAAAAAACATAACGACTTCGTAAATAACATTAATCTCTGTATACTAATTTTTGATTATCAAATGAAAGAATTGTTTTTCGTAATAACGTTTTATTTTTGATCGCTAAAGATATATAGATAAGTTAACAATTGCATATATTAACACGTTGACTGCTATACAAACGTCTTATCTATTTGCGATAAGATAAATCGAATAATTCCTAATAATATGGGTAATGGTTTCCTATGGAAATTCAAATATCACCTATATGTATATGGGTGATATGGCAGTCAACGTGTTAATACGATCTCTCAGTCTTCAGAGATAATTTTGAGTCATATCCTATGTTAAAAATATAAGATTGTTTTAAAATTACTAAGCATACATTTGTTTCAGGGTCCATTGGTAAATTCTGAATTTTACCCAGGGTGGTTGACGCACTGGGAAGAACCATTTCAAAGGGTAAAGTCCGGGGCTGTTAAAAAGACTTTGAATGAAATGCTCTCTATGGGTGCATCAGTTAATATATACATGTTTTACGGTGGTACAAATTTCGGTTACACCGCTGGTTAGTAAAATTAGCATGATGCAAAGAAACTCCTAACTGCTGTTAAAATATCAATAAATAATGTTAATTAACATATTATGATTCCACAGGTGCTAATGGTGGTCCAGACGCGTACAGTCCACAATTAACTTCCTACGATTACGATGCTCCATTGACAGAAGCAGGTGACCCAACGCCAAAATATTTTGAAATTAGAAATGTCGTCTCTCAGGTATAATAATAAAAAATACAAAAAAGGATAAATCAAAAGATGGAACTTTGTAATAATAAATTAAATAATTTGATGTTTGATATATAATATAGAGAAATATTTACATTTAATATTAGTATCTCATACAAAATATTAAAAATTTAAATTATAAAATTATAAAATGCCACTAATATAATCTTTCCCATAATTTAGTATGTTTAAAACAAATTAAGACTCTCAATAACTCTCATATTTCATCACATCATACACTATCTCTCATATTGTATATTTTTTATCTGGAACTATTACATTAATTATGATGATAATAATTAATGGTTCATTTTATATATTTGACAAATAATATCTTGCTTCATTTTTGCAGTATTTACCTCTACCAAACACGTCCGTCCCAACAGTATCTCCAAAGGGAGATTACGGTCCAATTTTCCTTACGCCTGTCTTGAAACTATTGGAACCTATCGGTCGCCAATTACTTGGAACTGTTCCTGTTGAAAGCTTAGTACCGTTGACGTTTGAAACACTTGGACTGTCTCATTGGCTAGTACTCTACGAAACCGATTTAGTGACTAATCCTTCGGATCCAGCAGTTCTACATGCCATGGTCCGCGATAGAGCACTAGTCTACGTGGATGATCATCTAGTCGGAACCTTAAGTCGTACCAATAAAGTGTACGACATCGTAAGTTTAGAAGAGCCTTATGGACAGAAGTTGAAGCTATTAGTTGAAAATCAAGGACGATTAAACTATGGCAGTGGACTTTATGATTACAAGGTGAGTTGATCACAATTGAAGATTTGAAATGGTGGACGACGTACAGTCCTTCACGAAAGTCTGATCTATCTTTTATTTTACAGGGAATTTCGAACGTAACTCTTAACGGTGTTCCCCTCGGACCATGGAGAATGACTGGATATCCATTAGACGACATTAGTCCACTTAATGACCTCAAAGAAATCACAATCAAAAGTGGAACTCTTCTAAATGGTCCAGTGATACTTCGAGGAAACTTCTCTGTTTCTGGTCAACCGATGGACACATTTTTGAACACCGTCGGTTGGGGCAAAGGGGTAGCTTTCGTAAATGGACACAACTTAGGCCGATACTGGCCACTGCCCGGACCCCAAATAACTTTGTACGTTCCTGCACCTTTCTTAAAAACAGGTGAAAATGAATTGATAGTAGTAGAGCTTGAATACGTACCCTCCAACAGAAAAATGAAATTACAAATTCAACCGATTCTTCATAACAAATTTTAATATGCGAGCAATTGTTACTATTATATAAAAATCTTGATATTTTCTATTTTTGTGTTTTCTTTATTAATGTATTTTGTGAGGAAAATAAACTTTGTACTATTCTATTCGAAAATATCGCTTAATATATTTCCTTTATTGCCACCACAGTTATGTTTTAAGTAAAATATTTATACATTTTTCAATTGAAATTGAAATATCGCAATTTAATTTTAAGCAATTTTCCTACGTGTTTTTTTTACAAAGATAAGATTTATTCGCATTTATTGGTACTCGTTATCTCTTGTTAATTAATTCATTTTATAACTGACTGATAAAAATATATCAATCAACAAAGCAATCATGTTGTTTACTTTGGATAATGTATAGGTACCCAAGAAGACCACGAATAAATGGTTGGAAATTGTAAGTGATTTTTACTTGTATCCTCAAATCTAATCGTACTCATTGTTGGCACTTTACTTTCCGTACTTGAGTAATTAGTAACACTTGCAATTGACATATCAAGATCATGAGATCGTTCATGTGATCGTAAATTACTGATTAAGGAAAACTGTTTTTTACATATGTTACAGCAATATGGACGATTTCCTGAAATAATAATTTCGTGTTACTACACAATATTTTTTAACCCTTTGCGACCATGTTCTTTAATTTTTTATACATCGTGATATCATTCTGAACATTTATTAATGTAAATTAACATTCCGCGGGAATACAAAGCTCTTTAAGTTTTTCAACTTAAAATACCTAATTAATCAGTAAGGTATCCATGGCTTAAGGCAAATTCGATCGTAAAGGGTTAACAAAAACTTCAAAACATTAATTACAATATCTATAAATTTTATTACTTTATTCAGTTTATATTTCTAAGAATATTGCAACATTCATGAAAATACCTAAGTTTATGAAGAATAAATTCACCTCTCGTGTATAGAAATATTTTGTCAATTCAATATTTATGAAAGATTAAAACGTTGTAAGTGATTATGTTATCAATTAATAGTAATTACCAGTATGTAATTGCATATGATGATGTAGAGCCCCAGGTTTACAGAATCCTCGATTGCAGATCAGACATCGCATCGGCCAATTACCGCTATGGGAATACCCATGGGCTCTTAAGTCGCCAGGGGTTGGAAAAGAACGAGCACATTCATTGCATTTATGGGGCTTTTCCTACGAACATTTTACCATTATTAATACAGCGATGCTATACTATTTTAAATGAAATATTTCTGAAACCAAAATTTAATATGTACACGAATTTAATTCTCTTTAGAAGTGACTATAATAAATTATTATGAATTTTTTAACGCAGGAATTTTAATTATTGAATAATCATAATGATTGAATAATATAAAAACCTTGTAATGAGTCATTCTATGGTAATACAAATTCGATGACGCAGTAAAACGTTTTCCACAAATGGGACATTCGTGTGGACGTTCTCCAGTGTGAATTCTGACGTGTGTATTCAAAGAACTGCTTGTACTGAACATTTTTCCGCACACTGTGCAACCATGTGGTTTTTCACCTAATTAAAATCATTTTATCCTTTATCTGTCAATTTTCTCATTAATTTATTAACTGCTATGAAAATTCCCCATGATCAGCGTTTCAAGTTTCATGTAATGGAATAATTGAAAAATGAAAGAACAAAATTTAACAACAATATTGTTGCACTGATAAGGTAAAACGGCTCATTGAAAAATTAATATTAAATAATAAATTATACATTTTCTTACTGTATACTACAAATTAAAAACAGAAAATAATCACTTGAAGTATAAATTTACATAAACTGACCTGTATGAGTCCGTAGATGTCTTTTGAGTAAAGAAGGTCTATCAAAACTTTTTCCACAGGTTTGACATGGCAAACATCTTTGAAACTTAGAAGAATTTGCCAACCTTAATTTTTTTTCAGACCCGCGGCAGCTCAAATCTAGGGGTGCATCTTGCACTACGCCACGTACTGCATATTTAGTATCAGATAATACAAGTGAAACCTATTTTGCTTATAAATATTCAGTCTAAAAAACTACCAAAGGAACGAAAACATTATAAACTGAAATTCATATTAATTTTCAATGTACACTTCTTCGAATCAGAGACCATAATAAAAGTAACCCTTTGCGCCTCGACTTTTTTAAACAGTAATAAATTGATTATTTTGACATTAAAAAAAAAATAATGAAACTATAGGTTTATTATTATACTTTGATTCGAAATTTAAAAATGTAGGTTTATATTGTGGATACTTCCAAACAACCATAACTGATATAAGCTTCTGAGGATTTTCGAAACATATTTGGTCCATATTTAAAGAAACTTCTTAAAGTACAAAGATTTAGAAACAAAACTTTTAAAATGATAAGCATTGAAAAAATTACTTCCTTAAATTGATATTCGGCGCTTACCGGACATCACAAATTTGTAACGTGTTCAAAAAGACCAATATTTGAATAAAAGCACACAAGAAACACCAGTAATAAAATTTCCCGCACTTTATCGATGGAACCAGACATGAAGAAGGATAAGCCTGAATTAGATACTCACCACCCCAAACAGGTTATAAAAGCGATTGCAGGTGAGATAGGGGGTTGAAATCATGAAAGCGCATGTCGGGGGGCGGCGTTTTTATCGGAGGGCGGAGTTTGATACACCTTTTCATAATACACATCACAACAGATAAACACATTACTTAACTTACCTTCTTTATTTATAGCTAAAAATTCGAAATAGTATTTTATATTACAAAAGTTCTCTTCTCTTCTTAATTAAATTATTAAATTTAAAGTAGTTAAGGTAGAGTAATTAAGGTAATATGTTTATTTGTTATAATGTTGTGTATTATTGTTAAACTAGGACTCTTCGTATGATGAAATTATAAAATATTTTCTGAAATAAACAATAACTGAAAAGTTTCAGAGTATATAAAAGAAATTTTGCTCCATATGATTAATTATGTTCTACTGCCCCATATTGTACGTTCTATTACTTCATCGTGCCAACTGGTACCAAGGATATTAAAATAGTACCATATTCCCTCGTGAAGTAAAAGTCATGCAAATAAATCATATCTCCTGTAACATTTTTCTAAATAACGCAAAGGCGTATTCGAGACAAATTGAATTAAAAATTTGAAACATCCGCAATGTGTAAATAAAGTATTATGTACTCATATAGAATCACTCAAAATTAATTACAACAGAATTTAATTATTAACAATTGAATTCAAACTTAACGTTTATTTCGATACAAATGAAAATAAAAATTGTAAATTTGTGAAATTGAAATTTTTTTTTAAATTTCTACTGCTCTCAAAAGCGAAATTTTGTTTACTATTATGGAGTATTATGACCATAAAACGTATCGTTTATACTAGGATGACGTTTAATTGCTCCTGCTGGAACGATACGTTTTCGTCGATCAACAGTAACGCTTTGTCATGATATTGACGATTTTTCACGGTATTCAACCGGAGGTGAGATAATTTGTCGTATGGCATCGGGACGCCGGACGTCCCGCAGCGTCGTCCCCTCGTTTGTCACCTGAGAGGATATTAACGCTATTCAACTCTCCTCAGAATCATTACAAATCGCTCCTTCATCGACCACGTGCAACAATACCTCGATTTACCTTCTGTAGGCTGCAACATTATCGTGGAAGATCGATTTCGAAGGTAATTCAAACGTGAACATTCCACAATTTTATATTTACAAAAAAAATTTAATTCAATTATATGCATTTTCATAATTTATTGAAGCGAGGAAAACATACATCATCCCTTTTTAGCAGTTATACGTATAAACAATAGAAATATTTTATTTTTATAACAATCATAGAAATTATATTGTTTATTAAATAGAATCGTAAATTAACTTTCAGAACTGATATGGAATTATTCAGTCTTGTTTTTAACATGAACTTAAAATGAAAAGTATTTTCTGAGTTGAATATTCTTACTGTAAATATAAACAAAATAAAGGTGACAAATATTTGTAAAAAAAAAAAAATAATAGTTTTCATTAAACAATAATTCGATTCTTGTTGTTATATATACTTAATATTACATAAATATTTTCTACCATTTATTTACTTGTATGAAAAATTTAGTTGATTATCAATTATAAAATATTAAAGCAACATATCACAGTTTTATATTGCATTGGATACTTCTATTTTATCATCCTTCGTTTCGTCGATAGATTTCGTATCTTGCTCTTGAGTTTCGGTACATTTCTCATCTTCGTCGTTCCTATCAATTTCTGCAGAATTTTCATTTTCTATAACATCCGGTGAAGCATTTGAATTCTCAACTTCTGCATTACATGCAGCAGACTGAGCTGCCTGTGCTTGTGCCGAAGTATCGTATTTTAAAATTTCACGTAGTGCCATTGTCGCGTATGTAGATGATTTTAACGACATTTCAATAATTAAAGCTTTGTATTGTCCCTCTGAAAAAATAAAAATTATACATGCAGTACATTTTATTAATATCATACTTAAATTTAAAATAAATTAAACATCAGTTATAGTTTCTACCTGGCTCATCTTTTGGAGCCGTTGACTTTCTCATTTCATCAATATCACACATGATAAGATCACTATGTTTTTCTTTATAATGCATAATTTTCCAAGATAAATTTGATGGAATCTGTAATATTTTTCTATAAGTGCCTCCTAAACTATATTTTCTGAAATGAAGTGAAGATAAAATATAGACAATGCTTTTATTAAAATAACAAGTGTACTAAATTACTCTTTAATGAGCTTACTTATTCTTTTGCCTAAGATCTGTTGTGAGTCCATCTTTTGCTAAAAACTCATCGAACCAAGATTTGGCATAAGATGGATATGTAACTTTCCAACCAACTTGGGGCATCAGTACATCCGCCAATGTGTAGTTAGATAAATCTTCTTCTTTCAGAATTTTTACTGCGGGAAGATTATATAAATCTTCAGTTTCATTTTTCTCACTAGTAGTTTTACTTTTCTCTGAACCTTCGTCTATTTTAAGACAAGATTCTGTAGCACTGGTTATTTCTTTAATTGAAGGAGATGATGGCTCTGTAGATTCTTCGATTATTCCATCCTCTTTTGGTGCATCTGTACATGATTCATCTCCTGATTTATTGGTATTTTCATTAGATTCTGCGATATCTTCAGTGACGCGTTCATTTTCGTTATCGTATACAAAATCCTCGTCGTTGTCGCTTTGTTTTGTATTATTTTCATATACTAAATCTCCGACTATAGGTTTTGTTCCAAATTCTTTTATTCTCCTTGACACCATGTGATTCCATACGAAACTTTGATACGCGTGAATATACATTAACCGAGCATTTCTTGGTATTAAATCTAAAGCTCCTTGAGGATTACTATCTCCACATGTGTAAATACCCTTTAAAAGAGCAGCTTCTATTTTATCGTATCTCTTAATCTTTTTATATGCGGCATATGCGTCTTTAGTTGTTTCATATATTTTTCTTGCATCTACTAAATCTCTATCTTGTTCCCCTTCTCTGGGCTTCAAAATTAATTCAATTGCTTCATTCCATTTACCTGATTTTAACAAATATAACACAGATAAACAATAATTTATTGACTAAATTTTATATAAAATTGTAAAAAACTTAAATAAAATCCTTAGAATATCAAGTTCAAAATAAAAACAATTACCCTGAAGTAAAGTTTTGCCGATTTCGTAAGTTGGAATGGCAACTACAGTGCCAAATCTTTGTAAACCATAATAATTTATAAACCCATGGTCTCTTAAGGAAATCATTGTTATCTCAATTTGCTCATCAGTTCCATTTATATTTCTCAAAGCAATTCTAAAATGATTACCACAAAGCATGCCTAATTTCAAAGGTTCTTTTGTAAACTTAAAGTTTCCTACAAATGCTCCACGTACATTTCTCGCTGCTCGTAGTATATCTGATGGCTCTACTTTTCTCAAACTAACCCATTGAGTAGTCCAAGCTCTACGATCTTTTGTACCAGCATAGTTAAAGTTATTTGGTCTCATACGTAGATTCATAGCCAATTGATTCAAAGCATCCATAGTATCCATATTTACTTTGTGTAACAAAAAATAGCAATATTCACCAGGACGGTTTCTCCAATCTTTCCGATTATCTCTCTGAAAAGTATGACCTAACAGAACAACATAATATTAATATACTAAAATAAATATTATTATAAATACAAATATTTAACATACAATTGCTACTATCTTTTTTACTTGGCATAATCATCATAATTTTCCTATTATCTTTATCTACAGTTTGACTAACAACATCTGTCATCTTTTTAGCAATTGTATGAATTGCTCTACGCTGATTCTTATCCATATCCGTTACATCAATTTCTATGGATGATGATCCTGGATCTTTTAAAGTCTGTAACTGATCCCATACTAGATCGGATACAGATATTTTTAAGTCTTCTAGATTTTCATTTTCTTCCTCATATACTGGAATGTCTTGATTTGTTAACTTAGCTATCTGTCCATCGAGAGCAATTTCATTCACATGAAAATCTGTATATCTTTCTTTAATTACACCAGAAAATCCTTCATTGCCTATAAATTCTGTGATGCCTACATCACATTCTCTTAACCGATTCCCAACTTTCATCTTCTTTCTTTTACTATCCTGTTGAATATTTGACCAATTACGCTTAAATGGTTTTCGACCAAAATTATCATTTCGATATCCTGTTAGAATAAAATCAAAATTTAATAAAAATTTGTAATGCTATAAATGTATAATTTTAAACAGTCCAATGCTAAAATCTTACCACTGTGGTATGAACCACGATTTCGTCTATAATCATTATTTGCTCGCCAATTTCTTTTAAAATCTTTTTGGCATTTCTCACGTATACCTTCTGGTTCAGATCCACGTCCAAGTTCAGTATCTTTGGAATTGTTTTCCGAATCGATATCTTTACTTGCCATTGCAGATATTGTTTATTGAATAATTCAATAAGAAATTAAATTAATTTTTGTTTTGTTGCATACAATTCTCTGCTTCCTGTAATTTCTAAAGCAGTCGGTTCAATCCTACTACAATTCTACTGCATCCACTTTGATATACATATTTACAGAATCATAACCACGAAGAAAATATAAAATAGATCGATCATATTATGGGAGTTCGCGTCTTACGATCTGAAATACCGACATAGTCTAAACTGTTGACGACGATACAACCATGCTGACAAAAATGACAAATAGTTCGCGGAGCATGAGAGGGACCAAAGCCCCTAAAAGGCGACATCACTTTGGTATAATTGGAATGCAAAACGCATCCCAATTTACCCTAAAGAGGTTAAATTAAATTAAATTAAATCGCCAGTTTCCTTAGAGGGACGCTGAGCATCCTCAAGGGTGTACATACATATACCCTTATTTTATTTTCTGCGTTCATATAATTTACTGTAATTATCTTCTAATTATCTAACTCCTCAGGAGGACGAACGTGTTGATTTTATTATTTCCGTCTGCACCCTTTATACCTCTGATTCCACTATATCTCTGCACCCTTATATCACTGCATTCCTTATATCCCAGCAACCCTTACATCTCAGTATTCCTAACATTTCTGCATTCTTTTCATCCTTATATTCCTTACATCCCTTCATCCCTTACATCCCTACATTCCTTACATATCATTATCCCTTACATCCCGACATTCCTTACACCTCTTCATCCCTTACATCCCTACATTCTTTTCATCCCTACATTCTCTTCATCCCTACATTCTTTTCATCCATACATTCTTTCCATCCCTACATTTCTATCATCGCTTCATTCCTTATATCCCTACATTCCTTACATTTCTTTATCCCTTACATCCCGACATTCCTTACATCTCTTCATCCCTCTTACTTCTCTTCAGCCATACATTCTTTTCATCCCTACATTCTTTTCATCCCTACATTCTTTTCATCCCTACATTCTCTTCATCCCTACATTCTTTTCATCCATACATTCTTTCCATCCCTACATTTCTATCATCGCTTCATTCCTTATATCCCTACATTCCTTACAATTCATTATCCCTTACATCCCGACATTCCTTACATCTCTTCATCCCTGACATCCCTGCATTCTTCACATTCCTGCCTTCCTTATATCCCAACATCCCTTACATCCTTACATCCCTTACATGCCTGTATCCTTTACATCCTTGTATCACTTATATTCCTGCATTCCATACATCCCAGTACCTCCCTGAAATTGAGTTGAAATTTTTGCGGCTATAAACTCTGCGATTTTATACAAATTTAGTTCCCCTTTTCGCCACCAGAGGGCGCTGATTCGACATCGAAATTTTAGTTCGCATTTTTGCCGCCAGGGGGCCAGAAATTCAGCAGGATTTAGTTCCCTTTTTCGCCACCAGGGGGCGCTGATTCGGCGTCGAAATTTTAGTTCGCATTTTTGCCGCTAGGGGGCGCTGTTTTTCGAGATTTTCGCACAATTCTCGAAAAATTGCGCCCCCTAGCGGCAAATATGTGAACTAAAATTTCGGTGTCAAATTAGCGCTCTCTGGCGGCGAAAAAAGGAACTAACTTACCTTTACTTACCTTTACTCGAAGCAGTCTTTATAATATATTTATTATAAGGAATGCCGAGATGTAACGGAACGAGGGATGTAAAGGAATTCCGTAGGGGTCCGGGGCTGTGGCCCCGGTCTCCACTGCACGCGGCCCGAGGAGTGCCGGCATCTGGTGTGTCCCCCGATGTCGGCGGAGTTTAGCACATGGCGGAGGGTCAACGGACCCTCCCTATGGCCCTAGTGCAGGCCACCGTGGTGATTTTTCTTGGGTAAAAATCCCTCACTACCTCCGGCCCCTCCCCAGGGGGGCTGAAGGTGTCTTTCTGAAGATTTCCACCACGTTAAAAAAAAAATGGGTATTTAAGGGTTGCAGGAATGTAAGGAATGCTGGGATGGAAGGAATGCAGGGATGTAAGGGATACTGAGATGGCCTTGGCCTATAATGAGGGATGAAATTATATAAATAACTGGAAAAAGTAAAATAAATGGGGTCCTCGGCTGAAACCCAGAAGAGGGATATAATCATAAATGTTATTCCCCTTCGATGAGCTTGTTTAATAAGCAAAAAAAAATAAATGAAGTAAATTAAATAAACTCTGCATAAAAACTATACTGGTTGTGCCCTGTTCATACGGACCTGGTTTTATCCAGGGGTGTTAGGGACCCCGCTGCGCCGATGACGCCCTCTGCGTACCGACCTGATATCATATTGGGCTATTAAGGACTCCAAAACGCCGGAGACTATCTTTGCATACCAATAACATAGCACCCGGGGTACCAGGGACCCCGAAGCACCAGTGACTGTCTCTAAATACCGACATGATATCATCTTGGGGTGTCAGGAACCACGGAGCACCAGTGACTATCTGTGAATACCGACATATCATCATGGGGTGTCAGGAACCCCGGAGCACCAGTTACTATCTGTGAATACCGACATGATATCATCTTGGGGTGTCAGGAACCCCGAAGCACCGGTGACACTTTTTGCATACCGACATTTTGGCATCCGGGGTGTGAGGGACCCCGAGGCACTGATGACACTCTTTGCTTACCGACACTACGGCATTCGGGGTATCTGAGACCCCTAGGTACCGATGTCACTGCATACCGATATTATGCCACCGGGGTGTCAGGGACCCCGAAGCAAATAGCGAAATATAAGACCTGAAAACGAACAAATCGTGAAACTCACTTGTTCGGAATAGTGATGGGTACGACCGGATCTAGCGAAATATAAGACCTAAATACGAACAAATCGTGAAACTCACTTGTTCGGGGTAGTGATGGGTTCGACCGGATCTGTAGCGCATGAGCACTACATTTATTTATTATAAAACAAACTTGTAAATAATTAAGAAATTCTTCACTCATAAACAATGAAAATGATATATTTGTAAATCACAAACGATTTCCAATCAGTTACAGTTATCAGTTATCACAAAATCTGTTTATTATAAAAAATTACAAAAGAACTAATTTGTCACAAACGTTAAAACTAGTCTCACAATCAATTATAAACGATTTACAAACGAAATACACTAAGAAAAATTAAAAATAATCATATTTTATTATTTCTTCCGGCTAGCTTCATGTAGGTTGATTGGTCGAAACGGTCACATTTACTATTCCGTATCCTTGGTTGGTAAGACGTTGTGTAGTTTCCGCAGTTTCCGTATAGATGGCGCTGAGATCGAATTTTAAAATTATCTTTGGCGGTCTTCTTAAAATACAAGTTTGTTCGACAATTATTTTAGCAACTTAAAGAAAAATATTTTGAAAAACTATTGAAAAAAGTATTTTATTTATTTCGTGTCCTTCGTTACATTATATTTTCCACATGGCAGTTGTATTGCAGTGACATACAATAATTTTATTTTTTTGTCTCTAATTCCTTTGTTACGTACGAGTTTATAATTTTCCATTAGATATTTTGCATCCACGAATGGAAGATTACTATTAATTTGGAAGTTATGAGCGAAATTTGAAATTCAATTTTATATTATATTGCTAATGATATCATTATTTATAATAGAAGTAGTACATATGGAAGAAATCAATATACATAAATGAATTTTTACATAACAGAACTAATTTTTAATTGTAATTGCAGTGATTGCCTATATTTGACAGAATTTATTTATAAACATTAAAATTTCAATGTATATCCAAATATTCAGCTAATTATTGAAAATTAGCAAATAAACTAAAATATATTACAAAATTATTTCAATAATCACCACACATTAATCCATTGCGAGTTGTCGCAAAAATTTTTATGATAATATGTGAGTTATGTGAAGAATTTAAACAGAAATTCTTTTGAATTCGTACTTCCTTGGATTAATTAAAATAAAAATTAAATAAAACACTCTTTATTATAACATTTTTTAATTTAAGAAAAGTGTTATTACTCATTATTTAGTAAAGAAAATAGTGTATTATTTTTAAATCAGTATTTTAAAAAAATTTAATTTCAGTTATATTTCATAAATGTTACAATACCTTAATACGAGATTTGATATTCTAATGTACATGAATATTATGGCATTCATAGCAATTATTTAATGTTGCCTAAGTAATATATATCAATGCATCTTATTGTATTTTAAACACTAAACATTGTAATAGCACTTATATAGTATACATATTATTTAATTCATGAATCTACACAATAGTATTTGTGATTAAGTGTTTTGTAATAATAATAATACATGTGTTGAAGCTTTGTAAAAATTTTTATGAAATTCAATTAAATACTGTAAAGCATATTGATCATAGGTTTATGACAACTGTATGTAAATTTTATAGCGTTTAATTTATAACAAACTAAATCAACTGAAACAAAGTCTTTCATAATTACACATCAATCTATAAAAATAAAACAGTAAAAATGATTTTTATGATTATACAATTTTGTCAGTTAGGGGCTATTATACTTTCCTACTCTGTTTGATTCCATATTTGAAATCATATCTCATAAATTGCACAAGCAAATCTTACATTAAAATAGTATTACTTTTAATCACAAGAGTTTCTGCGACAAACTCTGGATTAATAATGAATGGTGATAAATAATTGAAAATAACCTAGAAAATTTCTAAGCACAATGTGTTTAGAACATAGTGTAAAATCATATTAAGATAAACTACTTACATTTATTATTGATTAATAGAAAAACATAGTACGAATGATGATAACTGAAATGTTGCGAGGTTATGATATAAACAGAAATTTTGTTATTAACAAATTACGATGACAGAAGAGATGAGTTTGTTTCATTTTAGTGGACTATTACTATTAAATGTTTCAGCTGCCTCTAGTTTCTGTTGATGCTGCTTCCTCACCTCTCTGCATTTTTAACCATTCAACAAATTCGTCAAGCATTACTGGCCCTAAAACGATAGGGTGTATGATGAATTTAAGTACATAATGTAAAAGATATTTATAGGAAGTTACTATCAAACTACATACATGCTCCATCTAAGTCATAATTAGATAAGTCATGATTAATTGTACGAGAAAACTCTAAAATGTTGCACCACTGATCTTTATTAATAACTTTGTACTTGGACTGATCTAGGAACTGAGCAAATTGTGTAAACAGTGGCCAATGTTTTCCTAAAAGCAACTGTAACATAACTCTTGCAGTTTCCATATCCATACTTCTTTGATCTTTGTCCTGAAACATAAACAGTATTAACAGTATATTAATAATATTAAATATTAACATATATGCACATCAAAATTAGTATATATAAAATATTGTTTACTCTAGCAAAATCATAAGCATATCTGTAAATTCCTTTAAACGTATGTGGATCATTTAATTGATTCCTTAGGTACTCAAGTTTTTGTTGTATTTTACTAATAGAATCACACTGTAATTCCGAGAGGCCTTTTAACCATTCACTTAGAGTGAAGAAACCCATTTGTCTGGCATTCATTTTATATGCAAGAACAAGCATAACTACATTTTCAGGTTCTACACCTATATCTTCACAAAATTTTTCCATTCCTTCTGGACCAAGTGTGTCAGAATCATCAGGTGTTGTATATTCTCTAAACCATGTGATACAACGTTTCTGGGAAAAAGATGAGACACTTGAGACATCTTCTGTTTTTGTATAACGTCTTGCACTGAAAAACAAAGATATATTTACTGTTATTATTAATATAAAACAACACTGTTATATAAATTTTAATGTTATTACTGTTCAGAGGAATGAAAATACATAAGAAACAACAATAAAGGAAATCATGTTATTTGATACAATAGAGTACTTGAATACATAGATATATACACTATGAAATTTGATTATGACTGACCGATGTTATTAATTTAATATACCTAGATGTATGTCTTAAACGTTTTGATGGATGCCTTGGTATACCCTCCTCATGAGCACTCGGTGACATTTCAATAGATGTATGATGATTTGTGCTAGAGGGCGCTCTACGCTTGCTGCGTGGCATCCCTCTTTTAACTATAAAGATAATTTAATCTTTATGTAAACAAGTATCAATTATAATACATTATTATTATAATATATTGATATTTTAATATCTTTTAAATAATAAAACTTAAAAATGACTTATAAATGTGTTATTACAAAATAAACATTTTGTTAACAAAATTTTTAATCATATACAAAGATAATTGCAATAATTATGCTTTATTTATATTCCCTTAGTTAAGATAGTTTAAATTTAAATTCTTTCAGTCAAAATACTTCTACCTGCATTATAATAAAAAAGAAAATATATACATTAATAAAACATAATAACTAGTTTAAAAAAATATATGTAATTAATCTGTATAGGAATATTATATATAATGAAAAATTAAATACTCACCACGCAGCAAAGACGTAAATAATATCAAAAATTAAGAAGATTCAGAGGATCCGTAATATAACTGATTTACACTAGCTAAACTGACATCTCCTTCCCGTTTTAGAGTATTGAGTTTCAGGTTAGGTCTGACAAATAATTGGAGTGCTACGTAATTTTCAACTTTTCTTACTTTAGTTTTGACCACTTTACACATGTGATATTACAAATAAATACCTAAGAATTATTAATATGTTCTGTAAAAAGAACAATTATATTAAAAATGTAAAAATAGGATTAAGTTGTTATATTATAGAGCTTATTTATGGAAATTATTTTTTACTGCGACATGAGTCACATTTCAATATTAGATGCTCAGAAAATTGTGTATTGATGATTACTATATAATTAGTCCAAAATACATAAATGTACGATGAATTGAAGAGACCCTCCCTACCTTGTTCAACAAACCACTAGAGCAATTGTACCAGAAATGTATTTCTCACAGTCAAAAGTCAACATCAATATAAAATTTGCTTTCTAATTCAGTCTATAAAAATAATATTAAACATAGTGTCAGCGTCATCAAATATTTCGCTAATTTATTAATTTGGATATTTTGTACTACCTAAACGATGCACGGTTAAATAAAATTTTTTCGCAGCTCTGCTTTATTTCATTTTATTGCCGTTTCGAGATAGCATGCCTTTTTTGCAGGGATGCCAATTGTAGAATTTATTTTTCACTAGTCTGAATAATTGTTAAACAAAAAGTGAATATCATTGTTTTGTTATGAATTTAAGTTATTTTATACAGATGCTATCTGTAGCGCAATGTACGAAACTCAACACAGAAAAGAATATAAAGTACAAATCATTTGTAATAAAGAATATTTAAAAACAACACTGCTAGCGCAATCTTTGAATGGCGGAAAAATTAACGCTTCAGAAAATTATTTTTTATTATACAGTAAGCGAGTTTTGCACTTCATTAATGCAAATCATATATTCTACAATTATAATATAATTTAAAAATGGCATTACAGTTGTATAAGATATTTTTCACACAAGATTATTTAAAATAAAATTCAACTAAAAACTGCCACACTGTTTTTCTCCTTTCTAATGTTGGTAACTTACATGCATATTATCGTATGAACTTAAAATATATAAACTAGATTTAAGCAATGTTGTGGCAATGTATTTATTTAATTAATACTAAGGCAGTGAATCAAACACATATTAATGTAAAAAAGTAAAATTTTCACAAAATGATAGGTATTCTGAATGACTCTGACAGTGAAGATGAATTACCTCCTGGATGGGAGGAAATGACAACCGTGGATGGAAACGTTTATTATGTCAAGTAAATAATAACTATTGTAATAAATTATATGGAAACTATTGTAATGCATGCATACAGAAAAATATATAATAAATAATATGATATGGTAGAAATATCACTTTGTAAGTAACAGAATTATGTATTTTTTTTTAGTCATTACACAAAAGGCACTCAGTGGACACATCCTAGAACAGGTCGTAAAAAAATTGTTGAAGGGGGTATGATATTATCTTATATATACACACTATTAATCACTTATAAATTTATTGATAATAACTTAATGATATTATATATTATAAGAATTGCCATCTGGATGGGAAAGATGTGTATCAGAAGATGGTAAAGTTTTATTTGTTGATCATATGAATCGTACAACAACATATACTGATCCAAGACTTGCATTTGCTACGGAATATAGAGAATCATCACAACCTGTACGGCAGCGTTTTGATAGTAGTAGCACAGCATTATCTGTTTTACATGGTAGAGATTTAAGAGGCAAAATTGCCATTGTTACTGGTGCTAATACAGGCATAGGTAAAAAACTACAACTATATTTGTTTAACATTAAAATAGTTCCTTAGCATAAGAAAATGTTATGTTTGTAGGGTTTGAAACTGCTAGATCATTAGCTCTACATGGATGCAGAGTTATTTTAGCCTGCAGAGATATGAAAAAAGCTGAAGAAGCAGTTCAAAAAATACAACAAGAAAGAGATAATGTAATATGTGAAACACTGCATTTAGATTTGTCATCCTTACATAGTGTTAGAGAAGCAGCTGAAAAATTCAAACAAAAATATAGGTAAAAATATTACTACTATAAATCAAAAACAGAAGTTTATAAATCATTATTAATGTTTTCTATTTTCAGAACTCTTCACATTCTTATATTAAATGCTGGAGTGTTTGCAATTCCTTATCAACTTACAAAAGATGGCTATGAAGCAACATTCCAAATTAATCATCTTTCACATTTTTATTTTACACTTTTATTAGAACATCCAATTCGAAGTTGTCATAATTCTAGGGTAGTGGTAGTTTCAAGTGAATCACATAGGTATAAAAAATTGTTTAGTTATAAAATAATTGAAATTTAATGCATTAATTGAATTTATAATGTTTTATAGATTCTCATCTCTTCGAACAGTAGAAGATTTTCATCAATTAACTCTTTCTCCTCCTGCATATAAATATTGGTTTATGGGAGCATATAATGATTCAAAATTATGTAATATTTTATTTGCACAAGAACTAGCAAAGTGTTGGCCGTCTGTAAGCGTATTCAGTTGTCATCCTGGTAATATGGTTTCTTCTTCACTGTCTCGTTATTCGTGGACATTACGATTATTATTTATGTTCGTTCGACCTTTCACAAAATCGCTGGTACGACAATTATTAATTTACAATAAGGATTAGCGGAAAACTCTTAATTAAAATCTTTTTATTTTACAGCAACAAGCAGCAAGTACTTCTGTTTTTTGTGCGACAGCACCAGAATTGGAAGGTGTTACTGGAGTTTATTTCAATAATTGTTATCGTTGCGATCCATCAAATGTTGCCTTAGATCCTGCACTTGCCGCAAGATTATGGTCTGTTAGTCAAGAAATGATTATAAGTATTATGAAAAAAGACAAACTTTGGGAAACATTAGCTTTAAAATAAAATAACTTATTTTTCAAGTTATAGAGATGTAAGACATTTAAACCAAAAATGTTTAAATCAGTAAGAAATTTATATTTACTTTTATAAAAATTATTATTGTATATAAATAATAAATTGTTTTGATTTCTTAAATGATTTAAATGGATTTAATAAACTGGAAATTAATGTATATGGGTCTTGTTTTAATTTTATATTAGACTTTTCCTGTACTCAATAACGTAAACTAATGTTTAGTAAAACAAATAAATAAGAAACAAACTGATGATATATTTGAAAATAGCTTAATATTAGATTTAAAAATGGCTCCGTAATTATTTTTAATTTTGTGAACAATATATAATTTTCAAAATTTCACTTTTCAACATTTTATATACCGAAAATTATACTCCATCATTTAAGACCATTATGCATAATTACGTACACAAATTTTTGGAATCTACTATTGGTAATGTATTTGGTAAAGACATAACTTGTAGGGAACCGGTACACCGTTGTGATGATTATCAACCAGGTGTGTTAGTAGAATTTGGACGAACTGGTATAAAAGTAGGTATTCAAATAAAGAAACAGATAGTTTATCAGTTGAACAGTAATTAACATATTATAACAAAAGTAATTAAATTTTGTACAAATAAGATATTTTAAATCTGTGTTTGTTTTATTATAAACAGAAGTATCGATTTTGTATAATTCTCTGATTTTCTTTTATTTCTTTATTTGTTATGGATTTTTGCAAATGACTACATAACAAGACACTAATATGCCATATCACTTCTATATAAAGTAATGTAAATGTAAGATGTATCAAGAATTTTGCTTTTAGTGATTAAATTTTACATTATTTGCACGTAAATTTTTGTAAAAGCAAATTATGATTTTGGTATGTATCATTTTTTTTACTTCAATAATATTTTGTGTAGTTAGCATAATTAAAATAAGTACATCTTTGTATTATAATTGTTTCCAAACATAAACTTTAAGGATAGAATTTGTAAATTTACATTATTGCTACTAACAATATTTATTATTAGTTTTCTTTTTAAATATTTTACAATTATCGCGCTGTTTGAAATTAGCACTAGATGTCGCTTACTTGTTAAATTTTGGTCTGCTCCTTTCTGCAGTGCCAAGCCAAACACTTATTTTAGTAGCGATGTGCGATATGTTTTGGGAATGGTTTAAGATATTTTTACACAATTTATAGATAAACTATATATTTTAAAAGAATTATCATAAAAGGAAATTTTATATATTTCAAAATGCAACGAACAATGGTAATTATAAAGCTCTATTGGTACAGATTGTGTTAGTTTTTTATTTTTAATTCAATTATGTTATGGATTAATTAATTTTTGTATTAAAGTTTCTTTATTTTATAAGTATTATATTGTATAGGAAATAGTAAGTAATAAAATATTTTAAAATTCATTGGTCTTACTAATACATATTTAAGAAAACTCCAATATGTGTTTATGTAAAGTTGTTCAAGAAATTCTTGATGCCGTGCGGGTTGTGTGCTGCAGTACCTGCAATGAAACCTGTCAACTCATCTGAAGAACGTACTGCACCATGTAATACTGAAACACAAGCAAAGAAATTAGTAAAGCCTTCTGAACTACCCATTTATTCTGTTGATGATGGGTATAATAAACAGATGCCATGGTAAAGCACAAGTAATTTCATATTGATAAAAGTTCTTTATATATAAATGTTTTATAACAATTTTATTCATTTAGACTATAAATATATAATTTTAAGCCTTTGAAATTTTGTTGAAAAACATTGCATTATATGTTGCAAAAATTTTATATTATAAAAAATTCCTAATTCTTTATAGCATAGGATATCCTTCTATTGTGGAAGAAAATATTCGAAAAGTACGCGAAACAATACAAGAAGTAAAGGTTACATTCAATAATATTTCCTATAATGTTGCAAGTACTGTTGATCAATTTAGATGTATGTATTTGTACTCAGTATGAAGTGTCTGTATTTATTTGCTATAATCAAATATTAATTTTTCCAGTCATAATTGATTATCTTCAAGATGAAGCTAATCTTATGCCACGAATAGGAGCTGTTGGAATTGGTGGTTTATCAGGTTTAGTACTAGGTCTTAGAGGAGGCATGTTTAAACGGTTACTTTATACAACCACAGGAGCTGGTATTATTGGATGTATTTGTTTCCCTAAAGAAGCAAAACAGACATTGAATAGAGTGGAACACTATGGAAATATTAGTTACAATTTCGTCTATGGTGGTATATACAATTAACACACTTCAGTATTTAAACATATATTACAAAAATATTAAAAAGTAAAAATAGATTTTATTGTTTTTTTATATTTTTGTATGAAAATATTTCAGAAAAGTAAAAAATGAATGTACAGTAGAGTCTCGATTTTCCGCGGTAGTTTAAAATCAATGCTACTATCTAATATAAAGTTCAAAGCACCATAAATAATACGGAATCTCGTTTAAACAAGACTCCACGGTACGAATACCATGAATGGCAAACGATATGAACTTTATTTCAGACGTTTTAGCATTCTGAATTATTATTAATACGAAAATATTTCTTATATCTGTTAAATAGCTTAAAGTGAATTTATAATTTATATAGAACAAGGTTTAAGTTCAAACATGTGTTTTTGAATTGATATGAATTCTTTACGAAAAATATAAAAAAACAATTGTTTATGATACATTAATAATTTCAGTGAAACCAGGAAACAGTCCACAGGATATTTCATTAATTGACATGTTCCACCTGAAAAATGTGTTTGAATCAGAATATTTTCGTATGATAACATTCGATAAATTTTTCGAACAAAAAAAAGAGAATACAACTGAAAAACCGGAGGTAGGATGCAACGATCATATCACCTTATTGCATCATTCCTCCCTTACTTTATAATGTTAATATAGTTTGCCATTTTTTTATATAATATAATCTAGGATAGTGCTTTTAGATTTAAATAAGTGTATTATTTTAAAGATATTTATTGCAAACTTTAACTTATTAGTAATATATTTTAATTCGCTGATAATATCTTATTTAACAATTAAATACTTTATTCTTTAATCTCAAAATTGTATTAGAAAATGTTTGATTATAGTTTTGGAAAAGCCTCCTGAAGAGTTAGCAGAAACTCGCCTTCTTTCGTTTCATCGTAATAATGAAAATCGTTCAAAGTCTTTAGAATCAGTAACATTGAATGAAATCCCTAACAAGAATCCAAAATTTAAAGAATTCAAAAAACCAGATTAAACAAAAGTAAATAGGTAGCCTCCATATCCTCACAAACTTATAATTTCTGAACATTTCAATCATGATTATTTAAAGTTGTCTAAACTTTTTGTATAATTATCATTAAACAAAGATATTGTATACTTTTATTTTCTATTTTAGGAGAGCACACCAGATAAACCAGAAAAGGAAAAAAAATGAATCGTTACATTAAGTAGTCGTTGAATAATTTATGATATAAATGACTCATAAGAAGTGTAAATAAAAATTAAAAAATAAAAGTATTAAGAAACTATATTAATAAATAAGTCTTATTTTATTTACCGATTTCTCGAAAATCTGATTGTCAGTTGATAAATTGCAGAGCCGCTTTTTAGTAGATGGCGATAGTGCTCCCCTATTTTGGAAACCCGGCTGGTAAGTTGTTGAATAGTTTCCGCCATTTTAGTATAGATGACGCTAGGGTCGAATTTTTAAAATATTTAATTTATGGCGGTCTTTTTAAAATTCAAATTTGTACTATTATTACAATATTTATAGTACCAAGCGGTACATACATATTTCGAATACTTCACTAACTGTTGAATAAGTATATTATATAATTGAGCAATGACCTATTTCCTACTAAAAAAGGCGAATGAAAACTTTAAATTTAATTACATTTAAATGAGGTAAATGAAGAAAACTTTAGGACATGTTATAATTTCAAGAAATTCCTTTCGAAGTAATACATATTTGACGGTATGATAAAAATAGAGATATTAGTCATAGTAAAGTGTACAAAACTAGTGGTGAACAGAATATTAAGGTTCACATTAGATGAGACAGGATTGATGAAGTGATTAATTGTTTCTGGGTACTAGGCAGAATTCGGTGCACTAGATTATCAACAGTATATAGAAAAAATGTTTCCTATTTTCCACATCGATAGAATTTATTTTAATTACTACATCAAGAAGCGACGAATGGTAATTTGTATTCATAGCTATCAGAGAGCTGCAAAATAAATTAAGTCGGGAAGTAATTAATCAAAAGTATCAAGGAAGTAGTTAATTAAAACCTGCATGGTTAAATGATGATCGTATTTACTCGAGGAACAATTCAAAATAATAACCCTGAATTTATTTGTATATTTTCTTCTATTTTACTTCTATAGTATTTCTCTCAAGTTTCTCTTTTTTAGAGACTTGATAAGACGAAGAGTCTTCTTTGACGCTCACCGCTTGTATTACAAAGTGATGTAACACTTAAAGAAGAAGCAGAATGATAAATTATTTTCAAGAAATTTTTACTGCTATTCACTGCGGAATTTAATCTGTATTCTAACAAAAAGTGTATCTGTCTCGAAGATCTCTTCAACCCTGTTCGTGAATTGAACGAGGTGCCACGTGTTAGCCGAATCAGTGTCAATAGAGGAGACACGGGATTGTCATTAAAGAGACACATGTGTGGAATGCGTGTACGATGTTGCATCGGCGTTTACAAGGAAAGAAAGATGGGGAGACATGGTATTAGAAAGGAGGGATCGAAGCAGAAAAAGAGGATACGCGTGGGGAGGGTGACTGCATCTAGACGACTATTACGTTCGGATAAGTTTCGCAGCGTTCCCCGGGGCTTCTTCATTCACATCGGTTCACTACGAGTTCGTTACCAGTGCATTTTCCTTTTTCAACATAGTTTAAAGAAATTCGCTGAAAAAATCATGATTTGACAAGGAAAGAGTAGCATGCGGCGGGACCACGTGAAGCAACAATGGAGAAGAATCACTGTCGGCTCCGTTTCTTGGACGCTTTGCTTTCTCCTACTAGGGTTGTATCCGGTGTTGGCCGATATCACTCTCCAAGATATGGGTAAATATATGTATTACAATTTACCAATTACGATTATCCTTACAATTTGAATTTAACAATTAGTTATAGTGAAAACGCTATAATTGCAATGATTTAAAACACATTTCCATTTGTTAACTTGCATGATCAATGTTGATTAAAATCATCTCTAATTCATTTTCTTTCAGTTGTTCAATTAAATGAAATTCATGGTGTCAGTCACTAGCTGGTAAAATTAAATACAGTCAGGTGAATAGGTGAATAGGTATAGTTAATAATTAATAACACTATTATATACTCCTGTATGTAGGTGTATACATATACATATATAAGTATACCCGTTGAAATTATTCTCGTAGACCGTGTAATAAAAGTCCGTTTACTATTGGATGTCTTTTTAAGTGATCCCTATTACATTAATTGAGCCGCTGCCCGTAGCATGCAAAACCGCGTGTTCTACTCTGGAAAAGAGGACTTCTTAATGGAACTGTTTTAACCGTTCGCCGTAACACGATGAGTTATGTCTGTCGAGTTCAGGGGTTATTAGGTTTCCAGTTGTCCATCGTGCCGTCACCCTGTTTATTTAATTACATGCCTCTCGCGTTTCTTGCAAAATCACAAACTTTCATCTGAAAGCCACGAAATCTCTTCGACATTCAATATTTAATTAATTTCAGAAAAGAATATTGTCGACTTGGTGGATGGTACCGGGATGCAACAGGAGCCAGTTGGAGTGATGTTAGCCCAAAATCGTTGTCACAGAAATGACACTGTCGCGTATAACATAACCGAGAGTGCTCTACTGACGATTAATACCAATACTCTGTTTCCTACCGGCATACCACGCGATTTTTCCATTTTAGTCGTTGCCAGGCCAAAGATCGGTTAGTTATGATTTTTAATTTACCTCGTAACACGTTTTTGTACGAGAAATTTATCGTACTACGTTTAGGATATCCGGTTGCCACGCTGTTTGCCATCTACAGCGACAGTGGCGAGGAACAGTTGGTGCTGTCATTGGGCAATGATGTAACTCTTTACTATAGTACAACACCAGACGATGAGGATCAATCGATTTCATTTGGAGTTGATATCTCGGATGGAAGATGGCATCGTTTAGGTATCAGCATCAAAGGAGACACGGTCACGCTTATCGTCGATTGCACAAAAACTATTTCCAAAGAATTACGCAGGAAACTCGATGAAACGATCAGCGTCGATGGTATCATAATCATTGGTCAACAGCTTATAGATGGAAATATGTATTTGGTGAGTAGAATTAGTAAAAATACAGTGAACTCTTGCTATATTGCCGATCAGGGAGTAGTAGGGATTAATACATATTTATGAAATGATTTATAGGGGAGCTTGGAAATGTTGAAGATCGCTCCGATTCCGGATGCAGCTTACGAAATTTGCACGATCTTCGCTCCAGACTGTAGAAATCAATCGAGATACAGATCACGGATAAACAGTTACCCAAGCCAAGTGCGCAATTATGGCCCTGTAATACGTACAACTTCGTCCTCTTATTACGAGGCTTCAACGAATATTGGTATCACCCAACCAAGCCAAAATTTCAGATCTTCCAGCGAAGAGTCTGCGTATAATAGATCATATGGAACGAATTATAATAATATAAATTTCTCTAGAAACCACGATAGAACAGTTTATGAAGATTACGAAGAGGAAAATAAAGAAGGATCGGTGGAAGATAATGAAGGATACAATTTAACTTACAAAGTCAATACAACATCGAGACCAGATTTTCAAGAGACTCTTTCTAACAGCATTTATACAATAGATCAATATCAGACAACAACCCCGGAAACACCTGATAGTTCTGAGAATTTAATTGGAGGAATTCAAGATACCTTAAAATACACAGGGTCTTCTGAAGGATCCTACTACAGTGCTGTGTACTATAATACCCGAGGTCCACCAGGACCACGCGGATTTCCAGGTCCCCCAGGCGTGCCTGGGCCACCAGGCAAAAAGGGAGAACAAGGGAGAGATGGATTGGGAGGTTTGCAAGGTGTACCAGGTCCACCTGGTAACGTTTTTGTTCTACCAACATTAAATCAACAAGGAAACGAGAAAGGACCTGACACTCAGGTGGAAGCATTACGACAAATGCTTTCGCAGCACATGATGGCGATGAGGGGTGCCGAAGGTCCTCTGGGTTTGACAGGTATTTCAGGACCCGAAGGACCATCTGGACCTCAAGGTCAGAAAGGAGAACCCGGGGAAGTTGGCGAACCAGGACCTCGTGGAGAAAGAGGTACTGCTACATTTCGTTTCAGACATAATTATGAAGAAACGGATGATTTTCAAGAGATATACAGATAAAATTTGTTGTAGGAATTCCTGGTAACACTGGTAGAGAAGGTCGACGAGGACGACCTGGAAGAGATGGTGAACGAGGCTTGAGTGGACCACCTGGAATGAAAGGTGAACAAGGTGTACCTGGATTACCTGGGCTACCAGGTGACAAAGGTGAAAGAGGGCCTCCAGGAGCTACTGGTGAACCAGGTTTACCGGGTCACGAAGGGATGCAAGGTGACGATGGTCCGCCAGGTTTGCCAGGTCTACCTGGTGAAATGGTAATATAAACAACATGAATATAATTATATAAAAATAAATTATATCTAAATAGTAGTCAAATTTAATTTTGATATTATTTCAGGGACCTAGAGGATTCATAGGTCCACGAGGTTTTCCTGGATTACCAGGTAATCCTGGTATTCCTGGAAGCGAAGGTCCACCGGGAGCGAAGGGCAATACTGGCCCTCCAGGTTCTTCGGGTTCACCAGGATCACCAGGTCCAGCGGGACCAGCAGGTCCGCCTGGACCTCAAGGACTTCTGGGTCCAACAGGTTTAGTAGTAAGTTTTCAAAATATAAAATCAGTTCATCAAGGATTAAATTTATATACTTGATGTGTGTTCATAATTATGGTAATCTTATTAGGGACCTCAAGGAAAACCTGGTATTCCTGGACTTCCAGGAGCAGAGGGACCACCTGGCCATCCAGGGAATCCTGGTGCTCCTGGAATCAAAGGCGAACAAGGACCTCAGGGCCCACAAGGCCCATTAGGCTTTCCAGGAGTTCGTGGTGTAAAGGGTGATGAAGGTAAACGTGGAACACCTGGTGAACGCGGTGACAAGGGAGAGAGAGGTCTAGAAGGAGAAAAAGGTGATTCGGGTGCAAAGGGTGAACCTGGTTCATCAGGTCCACAAGGAATTCCTGGATTAGAAGGTTTAGAAGGATCAAAGGGTTTTGAAGGACCACGAGGTGAACGTGGTCCAACTGGTCCCCTTGGTGAAAAAGGTAAAACAGGCCCCCCAGGATTCGTTGGATATCCTGGAAATATTGGTGAAAAAGGTGATAAAGGTCAACCAGGAAGAGAAGGTCCTACTGGAGATAAAGGAGAAAGAGTAAAAATAAATCAATTCAATA